TAGAAGCCAGTCTAACTGCTCCTTAATACGTTTCACCCATCGCTGCAGTGAGTGAATCTGAGGTGCGTCTTTCTCCGTTATAGTCTCACTAACTATTGACCGTTTTGCACTGGTTATTTTCATAAATCTAAATAACTGTTTCCTCTTACCTATCGCCGCCGCGCACCACTGTTCATATTGATTGCTTAGACCTCTTTCCAGCCCACATTTCATTTGGTTGCCAATGTCTCTCTTGATTTCTGAAGTTAGCGTTTCTAGGAAGTAGAGGGTTGCCTCATCGCACTTGAAATATTGAAACCGCTCCGTACGCAAACCACTTCTTATTTCTCCCTTTCCAGCAGAAGCGCAGACACTTTTCGGTTGAACTTCTCTTCCGTCTCATTCGGTCTGCAGTTATTGAGCATGTATGTAGAGCTTACAGATAGATAACCGCCAGTTTCCCAATTCTTAACGTTTTTGCTGTGTCGTTCAGTTGACCAGAGCATAGCCGAACGCCAACTAGGAATCAATCCACCAGTGCCTTTTCTGCCCTGCTATACGTACACCTGGAAGACCAGGAGATCTAGCCATTAAATCTCCAGAAACTGGTAGGGTTTACTTCTGGAATCACCATTGTGACTGATCGAGGTCAAGTGAGTAACTGTATTTAGTTTTTGCATGCGTGTCTGGAAAACACAGCACATACCCATAACCGAGGATGCTATAGTTTCGGTTAATGAAGCTGGTTAGCAGATTTGATGGGGAGTGTGGACATTGGTAGCTCTGTTGTGTAGTTCGGAGCGCGGTTTCAGAAGACCAGATATGCTGTTCCGTGAACTGCGATGGTCATAGAGGTTTGTGGAGCTGAAGCACGCTAACGACAAAGCAGGAAGATTGTCCAAGAGACGTTCAGAAATACTAGAAGCTAAAGTGGTCGGCGGTTGATAATGATCCGGTAGGGCTTGCTGGTTGACTGAACTGTGAGATTGGAACCTGGTAGTGAAGAGTTAGTAATAGTGGTGAATGGTTGCAAAGCACAATGAATATCTACTTGAGGCCGCTCATATACAGCTTTTTAATAGTGTAAGATTTACGTTTGTTGCTTCCGTGTCCAACTATGAATCCAGGTAGCTGGCATCGCCGTGCCACAAAGTAGTGGAGTGCGCTATTTTGGTGCCCAAATTTCCTAACCCATCGTCCCCATTAGAAAGGCGGCATCTGCGTGATACTACTGATCATCCGAGGAAAACACCTCAATGCTGTCACACCGCTCTTCAGTCAGCAGTACACCTTTGTCCGCATCTCCCCATCATGGCGTAGCAATCTAGACGATAGCAGTAACTGCTTTTTGTCTTACCACTATCCATCAGACCTCTCTAGTATGTTAGGACCTCAAAGATACAGGCTTTCCACCAACATAGCTTGGTTAGTCATTCTGATATGCAAGACTGATCTGAATATATATTAAGGTAATTTACTTTGTTGTGGCTAGCAGAAGAATCCAGGACGCGCGTAAATTATCATTATAAACAGCGAGGCAGTATCGAGGCCTCCGCGTTGGAACCCATAGGCCAGTAGAGGTCGGACAATTCAATCGAGTAAAACAACGGAGAATTACAGGTATATCAACAAATATTCATTCTTAATTTTATTCAGCACTTTTCCTTATTACTAGCTTGATAGTGCAATGCAATTACAAGCTATTGTCTAATAACAGACTGTTATACATTTGTAATATATGTAAATACGACTGTATAGCATACAAAATCTCTTCACTGTCTGTTATGCAGACCGAAAGAAACAACAGCATAGGAAGGTATGCCAAACGTTGTCTACTGAATAAACTACAGAAACCACAGAAAAGACTATATCGAACAGAGTGATCAACCTCCACGTATCCGGCAACATGAACATTAGCTAGCACTGAAGCGACATGAAGTATCCTCGTTTACATCTATACATATAGATACTTGTGGACATGAATTCGAAAATGTGGAAATCCTGAATAGTGGAAATATAAAGAGGGCCAGATAAAGCTTTAGAAGCGTGGTATTTAGGTCAGTCAGTGATCAACGGATATAGTGAAATTGACCCAATCTATCAAGCAATAAGAAACAACAAGAAAGTGAAAGTTCACATCGGCAGGACAACCAATCGTAGTACTTATGGAGATAATTACAAGATTTTAGCAGAAACAACCAATCATACCCAAAATCACTAGGACACGCTAATAAGCCACTCATGAAGGAAATCCCATAGCCCACCTCTTTATGGAGTTTGTGCTGAAGATGTTGTCCGGAATGGCAATGATCAAACCATCCAGTTCAGAGAACACAAAATCATAAAAATGAAACGATAATGACAACGATACGAAAAATGGTAGTATTAATTCGACTGTCGATGATACCATGCAGCATAAGGCGTGTATAAAAGACACCGGAGCGAATTCCTGACCGATAGCTTCTACGTTGACGTGGTGATCAGTCTTGCATATCAGAATGACTAACCAAGCTATGTTGGTGGAAAGCCTGTATCTTTGAGGTCCTAACATACTAGAGAGGTCTGATGGATAGTGGTAAGACAAAAAGCAGTTACTGCTATCGTCTAGATTGCTACGCCATGATGGGGAGATGCGGACAAAGGTGTACTGCTGACTGAAGAGCGGTGTGACAGCATTGAGGTGTTTTCCTCGGATGATCAGTAGTATCACGCAGATGCCGCCTTTCTAATGGGGACGATGGGTTAGGAAATTTGGGCACCAAAATAGCGCACTCCACTACTTTGTGGCACGGCGATGCCAGCTACCTGGATTCATAGTTGGACACGGAAGCAACAAACGTAAATCTTACACTATTAAAAAGCTGTATATGAGCGGCCTCAAGTAGATATTCATTGTGCTTTGCAACCATTCACCACTATTACTAACTCTTCACTGCCAGGTTGAAATCTCGTAGTATAGGAAAGGTGGTAGTCCCAGTCGCCCTTACAGCCGTGTCACGGAGTTGGTTGTTAAATTCCTTATATATTTTTGGTATATATAGTTATTTTTTTGAATCCATGCACCACTGGACTGAATAAATTCTCTATTCTCTAGTTAGTCAAAATTTGTCGTCAGTATTAATTTTTTGAAACCTAGTTTTTGTTTTTGGAATGAATTCAGTTCATTCAAAGTACTTACATGCTTATTGAATCATTCTCATTGGTTACCCATGATCTGCACAATTGTGTTTGATATCACAATCTGATTGGTTATCTTTAGATAGGCTACTGTGACCATACCGCTGTAATTACAAATGATTATTGGCTTGATTATGTCTTTGCAAGAACTGGCGCGGGATCATGCTTTCGGCCACCCAAAGCAAAATATTTAGCCGTACCATACTGGAGAGATTAAAAGGTTCTCTGGATTCAAAATTGGGACCGAAACAGGCTGAATTCAGCATCAATCACCATCAGCGGGAGAAACCTAAAGGAAGTAGCCTCTTTTACCTACCTGCCTGGGCAGCATCGCTTCAAATACAGGCGGCGGCACAGATGAGGACGTCAAATTAAGAATCTGAAAGACAGCAAGACAAGCCTTCATTAATCTGAGATCAGTGTGGAGATCTGCTGCACTCAGTATAAAGCGTGAACAAGACCCGGATTTCCAACACTTCAGTCAAGTCAGTGCTTCTATGTGATGGTTAAGAGACTTGGCGCGTCATGAAAGGCATTTCCAACAAACTACAGATATTCATCAACAACTGCCTACTCTGGCTCGATACTGAAGATCAGATGTCCAGAAAGAATAAGCAACAAGGAACTCAATCTGGCTTGTGACGAACCAACCAAAAACTCATCGCTCAACAAATATACAGAAGAAAGTGGAGATGAATTGGATTGGACATACACTGAGAAACCCGATTGCAGACATCACGCGTCAATCCCTTGAGTGGAACCCAGATGGAAAACGACGAGTTGGGCGTCCGAGAGTGACATGGAAGAGATCATGTGGGGAAGAAATGAAAGTTTGTGGACAGTCGTGGAGCGAGGTTCAAAAGACTGCAGAGAAGAGAGTGAAATGGTGACGTGCTACTGAAGCCTTATGTTCCACTAGGAACCCAAGGGACGAATAATAATATAATAATTGTAGTGATTGTGGTTTATTTGGTTTGAAGTATTTTTTTCGCACCAGAAACAGCTTGAAAACTATTTTCAGGTATACACATCGAATTGTCATGTTGTTAACAAAAGTGTTTCTAACCACTGATTGAAGTAACGCCAAGGTAAAACTATTTTTAATAAAACTGTGTTCAGATGAACTTGAGTGAAAAGTCCCAGTAACAAAACATCCACTGTCCAGCAGTTGAATTAGTTTCAGGCCAAAAAAGTATCTGGTTGTCTCTTGATCGAATCAAAATTAGAAACAATGGTAAATAATTTTTCAACAGTGATTTTGAGTTATTCATAAAATTTATTCATTACCTTACTCCGGTTTTATCATCGACGTTTTACTAGGATAAGTATAAATTGCTCGATAAAATGTATCATACGCTTTAGAATAGCTTATTCGTGAAACAGGATGTAGTTTTCTCTGACATGGAATATTAGTTTGTGACAAAAATATGATGTTAAAAGTCGTAGAAGGATTATGTCTTAAATACTTTTTTAAACTTTCACTAGTTCAAATCCAGGTTTTCAGATGAAATATGTGTTTGATTAAACTCAAAAACTTCACCTACATTTCTTAGCTTGGTGTACATCATTTTCATTTTGCAAATTAATATTGCAAAGGGTCAATCCATTGTCATTGGAGCATTCTAATTGGCATTAAACAATTATGAGATACGTCTTGTAAAACAATGTTGTTTGGCTTTTATTCTTTCTCATTTCCGACATTCAAACCAAGGTAATTCTTATTTTACGTTGGTTGTTGAAATTGAAATTCTTGAGAACTCAAAAGATGTTTGTTTTATGAATTTCATATTCTTGCTTATTTATGAGCGGCATTTGTGGACGCTTGTTCGTTTTTTAAATTTAAGATTGGAGAACTGCCAATGTATATCAATCGTTTGAAGAAACCACCACAAGGATTTTATACGTCACGAAACTCACCAGTGCTAAGAATCACACGTGGTGGTCTCATGAATCCTAATATACTTGATTTTCATGAACAGACTTATGGAGCACACAACGTAACACATACTCAACACGTTTGCTGTTTGGCAACTTTGGTTCCTATTTCAAGTGATAAACAGTTCTACAGAACTATTGCATTTACTAAAACAGGCGAATATTTTGGACGTATGTCGCATTACGATTTATCATCGGTTGACATGCAAAGTTGTGCAGTGAGTTGAATTTAATGATAATAAATTAAGGATATAATCTTCAATACTATTGAAATATCTTCAAAGTGGTAGTAGAAGTATGCTTTACTTTTGCTCTAAGGATATATTCTGTAGGCTTTATCTTTTGTGCTCTCTATCAGATGTACTGGAGTATTTTGCCCGACTAATGATCAGTCCAATTCAAGATTCCTTCTTTCAGCACTTATAATAACTATTGAAACAGCGAAGTGTTGAATTCATGTATAACAACTAGGTTGAAAACCACTGACTATCGATTCCTCCTAGCCCTCGTAACATAATTGTGACAGTTTGCAATTCACCAATGCTATTTGGAATTCTTATGCTAATTAAACAGCAGTTACTAAAGTGTTTTCACTTTTTAAGTACTAAGTGAATAGTCATATATACTGTCCTCGACCACCTACTTTAAATACCTCTGCAAGTAGTCCATTTAGCCCTGCTACTCTTCCTTGTTTCAGGTTGCCTACCGCTTTGTCAACTTCTGTAAGTGCGGAGGCTCCTATCCTGATATTCCATTCAAGTTCTAAGATATATATATATATATATATATATATATATATATATATATATATATATCATTTTGGATGGAATGAATTTTTACTTGTGTACTGTGTGTTAGTTTTGTGTTGCCTTGATTGATTGAGCTTGCTTTGTGGTAAGGAAATTGTATTGAGTCTAGATAAATGAGCAATTAGTATTAAATTATTAAGATACATCTAGAACCTCAGTTATGACACCAATAGTTACTTACTACATTCTTCGTATATATCTAAATTGGATGGAATTGGCATTTCACTTCTTCGTTAAAAAGTTAGCCTCCAAAAGAAACGTGATTTCATCATACTTTTTTCGGTGAATTGTAAAACTTGCATCCGTAAATTTACCTACAGGCATTCTAAACTACGCGGCAAACAGACAAAATCAATTTAGAACATAGCATACATACAGACGTTGACCTGATCTCAAGAGAATTTTCGTCAAACCTAGAATACCTAGAATTCCTGTTAGATGAAGACGCTGACAATATGTAGAGTCTTCTGAACACTTTGAGTGGCAATTCGAGAATGTTTGGGATGCGTTTCTCACCACCCAAATGCAAATTGTTGCTCCAGGATTGATCTTCGACAGTCCCACAGCTAATAATAGAGAGTGTGGTGATTGAGTGTGTCGATCACTTCGCTTACCTGGGAAGTAGGATCAGCCCTGCCCTGGTGGCTCAGTGGCCGATGAAATCTCTGCACGGATACAAAAGGCTCGGCTGGCTTTCGCCAACTTACCTCACCTATAGCGCCTCCGTGATATCCGACTGTCTATTGAGGGTCGCGTGTACCGCACCTGCACAGCAGTCCGCTCTGTTCTGTCGTATGGCTGTGAAACATGGCCATTGAAGGTGGAAGACATGAGAAGACTTCAGGTGTTTGACCACCGTTCCCTTCGTAGTATCAGCCGTATTCCGTGGTGTCACCACGTGAGTAACGCAGAAGTCAGGTGTAGAGTTTTAGGGAGAAGGAGAAGAGGTAAGTTAGTTGATACGGTTGTGAACCTTCATCTACTGAGATAGTTGGGACACGTGTTACGTGTGTCTAGCCGTCGATTCCCTTGTCACACAATGTTGGTTGAAGTAGGTCGAGGCTGGAAAAAGGCCCGAGGTGGCCAGACTAAAACATGGCACGAATGTATGAAGTTTTCGACTGTTGGTTTGGGCCATGTGGGGCGATGCAGACTAGGTGGTTGGGGTCTGCGGGACAAGAGGAACCAGTGGTTGGAGACTTTAAGTGATGGCATGGCTCAGAACCGATGTCAGTGGCGCAGATGTATACATACATTATCCTCATCTCAACATTATCCTCAATCTCACCCCTTTGTCATTCTTCCTTTCTTTCTTCTCGTACTTTATATTTCTTTTGACTGAATATATCCCGTATGTATTACAATTATTCCTGCCTCGTTTAAGAAGTTTTTAATTTGGATATCAACGGTCATCAATTGAGTTAAAAATTAGGATTTTCGGATTCATTCGTTCGGGCATTTATACCTATGAATAGAAGCCTTATATACTGCTTTATCATGATCCTTCAGGAGAATATTCTTTTGGTACGTACCTTCTTTGTGTTTGTATTAGCTGCAACAGGATGGATTGCAAATTTTGTTGTCACTCCATTTTAGTCTAAGTAGTGAACACTTTCGGCAATGGTTAGTTCTAAAGCTCAGTGCTTATTTAATATATCTCTTCATTATTTTACCTTTGTGGTAAAAGGGAAGATATTCGGGTCAAGTAAGTAACCACCCTGACATTTTTAACTTATCAGTCTTACAACTTTCATAGCATAGCCTCTTCGCTTTGTTTAAATTCCCTCTAGACTGTGCTTCAGTATTTGGATTACAAATGTTTTGGGATCATACCCTGTCTCTGATTTAAGCAGAATATTTTGTAAATTTGATAGAGCAGTGAGAGTGTGACATAGATTCGTAAGACATATTTGTTGTGAAATTCCTTCATGTTTGGGCATAGTCATTCATGGAAGTCTTTGCAGTCGTTTTCAGCAAGTCGTGATTGTCGACATATTGCGGTAACAAATCTATTATCCTTTAATATGGATGCAAAGAAATGAAAATAGGATAAATAATTGAGGTAGTCAACTAAAGTATCACCTTCAATCCAATTTGATTAACATCACCCCTCAACTTCCCAGGTAAGTGAAGTGTTTAATGCGCCCAACCAATTCACTCTGTTGTTAGTCGGAAGACTGAAGACCAGTCCTGGAGCAATAATTTACATTTTGGTGGCGAGAAACGCATCCCAAACATTCTCAGATTGCCACTCAAGGTGTCCATAAAACTACATCTTGTCAGCGTATTCACATAACAGGACTATATCATATACATGTTTTAAACCTTCGAAGGGTACTTTTGTGATAAGAATGATCCCTTTTAAAGCCAGATGATGAGAGGAAAACCTCCGTAAGTACGTCTATAATAAAAGTGAATAAAAATGTTGAAAGTGGGCATCATTGACGGACACCACTCGACGTATGTAACCCACCTGATGACTCACCATAGCCTCTAATACTCCCGCAGATGTTTGAGTCCAAAGCCTTCAACAGAGTAATGTCCTCACTTCGGACTCGTTTCATTGAGAGACACTTTCATAAAACTTCCCGATTGACAGAGTCGAATGTGGCTTTCAGCTAGAGCAGTACAGCTATTGTCGAGCATCGTTAAGTGTCTATCTGTGTTCCCAGACCCGGTGGGTTGTGAATATCTGGTGAAAGCGCTTGCATCCAGGTCAGAAGGCTGACTGGTTTTCTCGAGTTTGCTGTTTTCGAGCTCCACTCTGACTTTTAGTGACCATGTAACCTAAAATGTTAGAGGCTATGTTCGACAGGCTGATTCTCTTGTGGTTATCACAAAAAGACTTCTCACCTTTGTTAAAGACTGGGACAATCAGTTATTGAGACCAGTCAAGGGGATCATATCTAACTCCCATACACTAGTTAACAGTTCAGTTAACTCGACTTAAAGTCCTCGACCACCTACTTTAAATACCTCTGCGAGTAGTCCATTTAGCCCTGCTACTCTTCCTCGTTTCAGGTTGCCTACCGCTTTGTCAACTTCTGTAAGTGCTGAGGCTCCTATCCTGATATTCCATTCAAGTTCCGACTGGATAACGAGGAATTGAATGATAGTGGGAACCCAGTTGAACTGTTCCTCAAGATGTTTCGCCGATTGCTGTATTCGTTTCTTCTGTGATTGAATCATACACCTATCCTTCCCCTTGATAGTCCCACTAGTCACTAACGTTTTCCCGTAGTTTGGTTACTAAGTGTAAATAACTGTGAGTGTTTCGTATCATGACTTCTTTTTCCATGTCTTTCACCTTCGCTGACCGTCATTGTTCGCAGTCATTGCGTAGACATTTTGTCAGTCTTCATTTGAGTTGCATTTGCTCTTCTTTATAGTCTGAGCCGAGAAGGTTGTCTTTGCATGGATTTAATAATTCAGAAGAAGCTGGCGAAATCCATAGGCTGCTTTTAACCGCTCCTTGAGAGTAGGCTACGATCTCCAGTGCTATTTTTACAGCAGACTGTGGACGACGCTACGCCTCTTGTGTGTGAGTAATATTGTTGAGTTGCGGTAACTGTCTGGCCAATTTTTCACTGAAAGCGATCTTAGTGCTCTTATTGTTGTGCTCCACTTTCAATAATCTTGTGGCTAACATTTGCATACGTCTATTCAAACGCAGACATACAAATGTTCGAACCAACTGGTAGTTTCTGTCGAATCATGGACTTCGGAGTGACTGGCAACCTTCCACTAACCGTCTACATGAATAGCTAACAGCGGTATGGTCTGTCTCTGTTTACTGTTGAACTGAGTTTGGTGGACGTCATATCAATTAATATCTCGTTCTACTTAAATTTCGTGTTGGTCAGAGATAGTTGGTTTTCTGAACACAGTTGTATATTTCTGTGAGTTACGCGAACTTGAATCGATGCACTTGTTTGCGAGGTCCTACGTTGAAATTTTTTCTTCGACGAAGCAAATGATGTATTTTGCCTAACCTCTCATATAAATGCGGTTTCCCTTCAAAATTTATTCACTTATTTATATATAAACGGGTATTTCATGTTGCTGTGTGAAAAATTCGCTTCCAAGTTGAAAAATAAAATGTCACAAATTACGGGTACAACTGTAGAAAAGCAATAATTTCTAATTATGCTTCAAATTTTAAGTTTAAACGACGTATAAGTTGAAAGACCTTCAGTATCTACACCCCCAGTCCTTTTGCATAAACGTATTTGCGTATGATGAAAGTTTACGTAAGCTAAGAGAGATATCTAGAAATATATTGCAATACGCAAAAGAAGTTTAACCAAGAAGGCAAAAGAATTTTCAAAACTTCTAAATAGTAAGTATTTTTTTTAACAAATATGAGTGACTAAGTAGTATTTCAAGTAGTAGTAGTAGTATTTCAACTAGTCGAACTGATGAACGTCGTTATACGGTGAGTATGAAATGCTCATCTAATCTCTTTACTTGAACTCACGCATGCGTGTCAGAGCTTATGGAGTTGTTATGCTAATTGATGGCAGCTGTTGTGATATCTGTTGTCTCCATTCCTGTTTAACTTCGTTATAGACCTACTAATGGATATAACCTTAGATATGTCTGACGTGACAGAGACTGATTTCCCTGGAAGTCATCTGGTTGACCTCTATTACGCAGATGATGTTGTCCTGCTAGGTGAAGATGCTTAGAAAATACAGGGTCTTCTGAACTCGTCGGGCAGTAACCTGAGTATGTTTGGTTTACGTTTCACATATGCCAAATGTGAGATGATGCTCCAGGACTGGTCTGTAATCACTCCTAGTTTAGGAATACATAGTTGAGTGTTGAAAGGCGTCGACCGCTTTACTTACTTATGGAGTTAAGTTACATCAGCGTGACTGCTTATGGAATCTCATCTGAAAGATACTTAGTCTATCATCTCTGTAGCCAACTGGCGAGATATTAAACTAACTATTTTGTGACGGGTGTATTGCGCTGCAGTCTGTTCTGTCCTGTTATATGGCTGTGAGAAATGGCCATTAAATTTAGAAGATATGAAGAAACTACAGGGTTTTGACTGTTGGTATCTCCATAGCATTGCCACATAAGCAATGCTGAGGTTAGACGAAGCTTACTAGGCAAGTTCGTTGGTGGGGATGTCAACTTTCAGAGAATGATGTGGTCTGGGGGATGTTTTGCGCATGCCGAGTCACCGCCTACTTCGATATTTAATTTTAGAGGTGGTCGGATTAGGCTGGAAGAGTGTTGGGAGTGACTAGTCCAAGAAGTGGCCACAGTCGACGAAGTGTCTGCTTCCTGATCTGAACGATTTTCGGAGATGTAGAATATCTACCTGTGATCTCCGAGACTATAAGAATCAATGGTTTTGGAGTCTCGTTGATATGGATGAAAATCGATCACAATGGTGCAGGTGTATTCACTCTTCCCCGTCTTCTAAATCTGGGACATTTCACGAACATATGTCTTCAAATTGTTTCTCCTCCAATACACTTTTGTCGACTTTAGTATCAGTCTTTTTCTATGCCCTTGTCCTTTGCGTGCTTCCGTGAAGTATGGCGACTTGGGCCGATGCACTTTTGTGTGGCGTTCTAGTTGATTTTACTTGTCAGGATCACTTCCGAACTTAACATATACTTTATCTAAGTGTATTTTACCATTCTAGTGACCCCTTCTGAGATGAATTCTTTTCTAATAGATAATTGAACGATTACCGAATATTGAGAAATGATGGTAACAAGTTTGAGTAAATGGTTATTATTTCCGAGAAAGATCGTAATGAGGACCTATCTTAACTATTGTATCTCTTTAACTGCACGAAATCTATCTGTGCCAGGGTTTTGGCCAACGGCACCAAATACAAACTTAGGTATTTCAAGCGTCATAATGAGTCTGACACTTTTGTCTACAGACTCAAAATCCCATTCCTCAGACCCACAGTTAGACTACTTCAGTGCTTTATAGACTCCATTTGGAAAACTGGCTGCAAATGAAACTTCTTATGAGTAGAGGCAATTTCTAAAATTTCAAAATATGTGCCCAGTGTGTCGTGCTATTGCGGGTAAGTCCTTATTCTGGCAGTTTACCCGTTGTGCTTAAATAGAACGCGATGAGTTTTGTTGGTTAAGAGTTTGTGACTTCCCGGTCCTACTTCAACTTGCAGATAGGCGTCAATAAGTTGTAACCTCGTTAGTTAACATCTACCACTTATGGCCCTCAACGACTAATGAGGAACAAATATAGAATAATGACTCTGTCCGAGGACAGCATTGCGTCAAGTAGATAAAATTGTCACAAACAAGTTTTTAAATCTAAAAAGTGGATTTCTATTCCCCATCTTGTACCCTGCTATCAACAACCGACGGAAATGGTACAGTTATCTCTTACCGCAACGACCAAGTTTGATCATTCAGATGCAACCTAATTAACTAACGCCAGCGTTCTCAACATGCATAATCTTTACATACTATGTCTCAAAGTGCTTGTTGAAGTTCTTACCATGGTTTTATGAAATCCCCATTTTCGTAAACCACTCTTCCTATGCTAGCTGAGTATCTCCATCTACCAGTATGTCCCTACTTAGGGTAAGTTGACACGTCTTGAGCAATATATTACAGTGATATGCAAATATAGCTTCAGTGAGTACAGGACTGTAAAACAAAGTGTAAAGTGATAACAGTCGTCTCTGTAAGGCAACAGTTTACCTAATTCAACTTTGATCCAAGATAGTATTTCTTCTTACAAGAGTAACGAATAAACATCTGTAACCTAACTTATGGGAGACTTGACTTTTTCTTATCAAGGTGATAGGTATCAAAACACGTTGCTGCTGTGTTTCTTCTCCAGATTTAGCCGTAGATGCATGTTTAACCGGCCGCTCTAGTTGAAACACTGACTTGACATCGCGCAGCAAACGAACAGCGGCTTACATCTCAGTACAGTGGTTAAGACCTGGTTTAAAACACCTGAAAATTTTATACACGACTCAAGGAAACGGTTATCGGTCTTTCGAGGAGGTTTGATCATACTGCAAACTGATTTAAGAGGTACTTCTTCAACCAACTGAAGAAGACCAAACCAATCAAACCCCAGAAGATTTAAGTCACTCGGAGTGACGCAGCATATCCTAGCGAACATGATGTTACTAAAAGATTTAAAACAGCGAACTTGACCATATAGTGTAGAGTAGTCACTACAGATGCCTATGACAATTTGAGGAGTTTTTTCACTACCAGGACTGCTGATGTCATTCCAAAGTTCTTTACAAATGATGTTGTCAGGCACAGTATCTAATTGTAAACGTGCATCATAAAAATTCTTTTGTATGCTAGCTTATTTGCATTTGCCTCGCATTCTGAAATGAGATGTAAGGGATAGACTCATAGACTTACCTACTGGCTTGGGATTGACTTCTGATGTGGATTTGGGTTGAGATGTATTTCTGCATGACTGCTTTAGCTTGCAGTATCTATCTTTGTAATCAGTGGAATTACATTTTCAGCAATGATTTATTTTTAAGAATTTTATAATACTTTATTCTTTTAGTATGGTGACAGAGGAATATTCTTCTTAGGATTCTAATGAATGAAACGACGGTGTGGACTACTAGCATTAAAAGTAGTTGAACTAGAGCTGAACGATACCGATCACTTCATAACTTCACACAATGCATGCTCATCCAGAGCTTTTATAACTCGATGGTCGCACTAGAGTTGTATCCCGCTGTAAGATGATAAGCCGCTGGTATTTATCAGTAATATCATACAAGTTAGATAAGTTTAAAATCTTGTTTTACCAGATTAAGCAGTCATAGAATTTATATGATCGGAGACTTTATTAAAATAGAGGCTTTGAATAGGTCTCTTTGAGAGGCGTAGGCTGAAATCGGTCACATTGTCAGTCAGCAGCGCTCTTATATAGTAAGTAATCATTCTCTTAGTTCATTGGTAGCCTAATGCAGCGGTACTGTATACTGTAGTGTGGGGAATGTTTTCCAAACTCCTGCATTAGTAATTGGATTATATCATCAAAATTTTGGTCGCGTCGATCTTAAAGAAGAATTCAGTCACAGTACTTGTTAAGTTCAGTTGAACCCTGTTTAAGAAGTCACCAACGTACTTTATAAGTATCACCCTGCACAGCAAAATCAACTTTGAATCAGTCTTCATAACGTCGAAGAGGTGATCTAATGTAACCTTCACATTAAGAGTTTAATTAAATTCCATGATAATATTCAAAATGCCAACAATTAATGTTGTAGTGGTATAAACAGCTATGCTTGGTAGTAAAGATGAACGAATCTTTTATGAGTATGCATCTCCATCAATCTTGGTTGTTTCTCTATGAGCGACTCAACTTTTTCATGACCTGTTTATTACATTCAGCCCTGTCGCTTACTGATACGATTAGCTTGAAAATATGAAGAACCTAACGTTAGGTAGTTAGCAACAGAGTACTTTCTATCCGTCTCTTCTCAGTTTCAGGTTAGTTGAGAAAACGTTCACCGGGTAGAATAGTGTATAAGTCTAAAACTAGGTTAAGACTCAATTTATTTACATAGTTCATAGGGAAGAAAACAGTAAACAATCTATGTAGTGAAACAAACAATAGGAGGTGACCATGACATGCGTATTTCGGTCCTCAGGGTCTTATCAGTTCTATTATGTTTGTCTAGATTAAATATTATCCGAATTTTATGGATGGTTGCTTTATAGAATTCCTCAACGGAGTCTGACAATCACACATTTTCAGTTTACCAAAGCCTAGTCTTAGAAGATGTTGGCTTGTTCGATGGAATTCAACGGGTGCTTTTCGCTTTTCGCCCTGGAGGAATATGGATCTCATCAATACTGCTACTGGACGCATTGGTCTATTTGTCGAAAGGCAGTTTTCATGCTTCTCCACCGTCATCAGATCTTTTCAGTTCTCGGTTTCAAGAAATCGTTTCCAGAATGAATTCATCACTAGGTATGTTTGAATGTTTCTTTCATCTTTGATGGATCTTTCTTGAATATCAGTACTTAAAAGAATCATTAGCATCATTCAAATTTCCATCAATAATAAATAGAGCTACAATAAAACTATTGCGTTCCTAAGATATAATGCAATAAATGGAACAGCCATTTCAAGTTACCCAATTTTGAACATCTCAGAAGCTCACCGTTTCTCGTATGTCACTAAGTTCTTTATTGCATGAGCATCTAGTGAGTAAATCAGTTTTAATTATCAACAGCTGTTGAGCTGTATTCGCTAGCATTAAAATGAAAAAATTTAAGCTTCAAATCACCTAAAAGTATGTTTCATCGCTTCCTGTTTGTTGCAGATATATTTGTTCTTCAGTTAGCTATTTTGTGGGAATTGACTGACTTCACAGTAGTTTTTATCACAGACTGATTGTTTCTGGAAAACCTTTGTAAGCCTTTGACCGCTTTATTTTTGTCTCTTTCCCGTTCCGTACTTCTCGTCATTGTGTACCTACCCTTCTGTAAAAGATCGAGCCTAAGACAGTCAAGTTTCGTCGCATTTACTTTAGTATCCAAAGGTTGAATAATGAACTTCTTGAAGCTTATGTCAGTTTGGAGTGTAGTGAAACCATCATCCAGTGTCGCCAGTAATTATCAGTTGTCACTTCTGGCTTTTTTGACCCAATCGGTCACGAATTCTTATTATAACTTTGTGAAGTCAATCTTGAAGCAGTCACTGATAAGCACTGGATTTTAAATTATTTACAGATTGATTGGTTTCATCGCATGATGATAAATACTTAAAACTATAGTTGTGTTATGTAATTGGAGATAATCGACAGGAAGCTCTGGACCTGGGTTTCGTCCTTGTTGACAGTCGTCAGCGAGGCATATCTGCGGCATAGAGGTAACTGATGTCCCTTCTGGGATTTGAACTCGTATCGCCCAATGGTACAACCAGCGATGTTATCAGTGAACTATTCAGCCTGCGATTAACCTCTTGTAGGACTGGATCGGATACATCTTGCTGTGGATGCTAACGCATTATACTTAATAAGGAAGGTAGTATGATTTTTGTAATACTATCTATTGATTTTATTTCAAGCCTCACATAATTAATTGTTTTAATGAGGGTAATCGTGTGTGGCGATTTGATTTGTTGGATTAAACACTTAACCCCCAAGAAATAGGTTCTAAGCACAAAAAAATAGTTCATTTATTTCGGCTTTAAAAACCAGACAATATCATACGCCTTCACATAGAATAAGTATGGTTCATAGGTATGTATGTAAACCTGAACTGGATTAACTTAAATTAGCCTAAATCGTCATCGGAGACTTCTAGTGAACTGTACTTATCTAAAGAGTCTGTTTATCTTCGTTTTTTTAATATTTTCATAATTGTCAATTTTTAACCGTTGGATGAAAGCTTTTTTTCGATTGATGGAAGGAATTTCTAGATAATGCTTAACATAATCTATTTCAATAATAGATTCCGGCATAAATCGGGTGAGGCTAAAAGTTATCCCCGGTTGTTATCGTGCTTAATATAGGATATAGCGTTCTGTGCACAAATTCGCGTAATTTCTGCATGCTGTAAGGATATTTTACCTTTTATGTATAGTTTCTAAAACGCCCTCTGTTATTGAAGCATGTTTCATGCCATTTATTCATGTACAAAGTATTGACTGCACTTCCACCTCCTACTTGAGATGTAATTACATTTATTTTTTTAAATGACGCTCATAAATCAAAGTGAACTTTCAAACTGCGACAAAAAGGATTTACGATTCCAGTTTACCCTTCAGAATATATGCTTACAAAGCACAGAAAAAATATTTTTTTACATAGGACATTATAAAACCTGGGAATAACTTTTTGCCTCACCTCTTCTCGTTAAAAGAAAATATCCAGAGCACACGTTTTTCTCAAGAAAATGTCATTCTGGATTTCCTGTCTACGTTTTATGTACTTCACTTCATAGCTTTTAAGGATGAATATAGGAAATCGCTAATTTAAGTGACAGGATTACTAGGTGGTATATAGAAGTCAGAGGCAATGCTATGTACTCTGATCATCCCAGTCTATTAAAAGGGAGAGAATTCTTCCTGTAACAACCATTGTGGAACTATTCGAATGTTGTGTCCAAGATCCTAGGGCCCATAGTTACTTGACTCCTAATTGGAGCTGAAGAACAACAAACTCGAGTGAACCAGACAGTTTCCAGACATGGACAAGGGTGGTTCAAACATAATTTTTTCCTTCCGATAGGTTTTAAAACACTGGCATACCTACCGGCCAACGGCTGAGATCTGCCATATTTCTTAACCTGAAGGAGGCATTTGACTCAGTCAACTGTGGGTTGTTGTGACAGTATCTGACTGTGAAGGGAGTACCAAACAAGTATATAATGCTTATCAAAGCTCTCTACTCGAATTCACGCAGCCGTATTAGGTCTTATAGAGAGTTGTCTTCGGAATTGACGATAACTGGTGTCCGCCAGGGGTGGCCAGTGTGACCGTTGCTATTTACTTACGTTTTAGATGTGAAAATGGAAATAAACTTAGGTACTTCTGAATTCATAAGGATTGATCTAATTTCTCCCTAAAGGGTACGTGGCTGATATAGAGTACGCAGACGATGTTGTCCACCCGGGTAAAAACGCTAACAAATTTCAGGGTCCTCTGGACGTGTTATGCAGAAGTTTGAGTATGTTTGGCATTAGTTTCATCCTTCTCAAATGCAAGATGATGCTTCAGGACGTCTCCAACTACTCCAAGTTTAATGAAAAGGAGTGAAGTGATGAAGTGCATCGATCACTTCACTTGCCTGGAGAGTTGCATTAGGCCGAATGAGGTGGTTGCTGGAGAAATCCCGGCTAGGTTCATCATCATCTTCAGTATCAACATAGGACCAGCCATTCTTGTGTAACCGTCTGAGTTGCCACAGCTCATATCAGTACGTCAAGTAAAAAGGCAGCGAGATGCAAGATGAAGATAAGTAAATTCAATCAAAAGAAATATAAAGTACGAGAAGAAAGAAAGGAAGAATGACAAAGGGGTGAGATTGAGGATAATGTTGAGATGAGGATAATGTATGTATACATCTGCGCCACTGACATCGGTTCTGAGCCATGCCATCACTTAAAGTCTCCAACCACTGGTTCCTCTTGTCCCGCAGACCCCAACCACCTAGTCTGCATCGCCCCACATGGCCCAAACCAACAGTCGAAAACTTCATACATTCGTGCCATGTTTTAGTCTGGCCACCTCGGGCCTTTTTCCAGCCTCGACCTACTTCAACCAACATTGTGTGACAAGGGAATCGACGGCTAGACACACGTAACACGTGTCCCAACTATCTCAGTAGATGAAGGTTCACAACCGTATCAACTAACTTACCTCTTCTCCTTCTCCCTAAAACTCTACACCTGACTTCTGCGTTACTCACGTGGTGACACCACGGAATACGGCTGATACTACGAAGGGAACGGTGGTCAAACACCTGAAGTCTTCTCATGTCTTCCACCTTCAATGGCCATGTTTCACAGCCATACGACAGAACAGAGCGGACTGCTGTGCAGGTGCGGTACACGCGACCCTCAATAGACAGTCGGATATCACGGAGGCGCTATAGGTGAGGTAAGTTGGCGAAAGCCAGCCGAGCCTTTTGTATCCGTGCAGAGATTTCATCGGCCACTGAGCCACCAGGGCAGGGCTGATCCTACTTCCCAGGTAAGCGAAGTGATCGACACACTCAATCACCACACTCTCTATTATTAGCTGTGGGACTGTCGAAGATCAATCCTGGAGCAACAATTTGCATTTGGGTGGTGAGAAACGCATCCCAAACATTCTCGAATTGCCACTCAAAGTGTTCAGAAGACTCTACATATTGTCAGCGTCTTCATCTAACAGGAATTCTAGGTATTCTAGGTTTGACGAAAATTCTCCTGCGATTAGGTCAACCTCTATGTAACCTGGTAACGAGAGGGAGACCTCCATAAGAATATTTATGATGAGATATAATAAGAATAAAGGGAGTGGGGAGTCTTGACTGACACCAACCGGTGAACATAGCTCCCTGGACATCTGATCATAGGCTCTAACACGCCCACAAGTGTTCGAATAGAGAGCCTTCAGTAAGGTGATATACTTACTCGGTACGCCTTCCAGTGAGAGACACTGACATAAGACTTCTCGATCAACGGAGTCAAATGCCGTCGTCAGGTCGAGAAAAACAGCTATTGTCGGGCGTCTGTAAGCGTGTCTATGTTCCAGGACTTGGCGCAATGTGAATATTTGGTCGATACACCCGCGGCCAGGTCTAAAGCCTGCCTGTTTTCTCGGGCTTGCTGTTCCCGAGCTCCACTCAGGCGTCGAAGAATTATAAAACGTAGAATTTTAGACACTATGTTCGTCAGACTGATTCCTTTGTGGTTATCACAGGAGGATTTCTCGTCTTTCTTAAAGAATGGGATAGTCATTGATGTAGACCAGTCATAGGGTATCCTATTTGATTCCCATATACTGGTTAACACTTTCGTTAACCTGACTAAGGGCACTCTACCGCCATCCTTTACACCTCAGGCATTAGTCCGTCTAGTCCTGCCGCCCTTCCTCGTTCCAGGTTACCTACTGCTTTCTCGACCTTTGCTAGTGTTGGAGGGCCTATCTCAATATTCTATTTAGGATCCCACTGGATAGCGGGCAACACAGTGGTGGCTGGAGGCCAGTTGAACTGTTCCTCGAAGTCTTCTGCCCACTGTTTCAGTCGTCTCCCCTGCGGACGAATCGCAGATCCGTCATTCTCTGCTAGAGCCTGGCTAACCGTTGTTGACTTTTTCCCCCCAGTCTCTTTAATACGTCTAAATTATTGTCTACTGTCATCAATCGCCGCTGCCTCTTCCATCTCTTTAGCCTTCGCTGCCCTCCACTGTTCGTGGTCATTGCGTAGACTTTTTCTCAACCTACTTTTAAGTTGCACTCGCTCTTCATTGTACTGCAAGGATGCCTTCACGGGCATCCATTAGTTCGGAAGAAGCTGCTGATATCCACTGTGTCTTTTCAGCCACTATTTCGAAGTTGCTCAAGGTTTTCAGCCCTGCTTTCACAGCAGACTTGAGATGGCACCAAACTTCTTCTGGAAGAGTGGTAGTCTTTTGTTACAATAACTGCCTAGCCAACTTCTCACTGAACATGGCTTTGGTGTTTACGTTGTCCAGCAGCACTCGTAGTGGTTTTGTTCCCAAATTTTTTTATGTCCATTAGGACGCAGACATATACGCGCTCGGACCAACGCATGATCGCTATCCAAACACGTACTCCAGAAGGAGCAGCAGTCTTCCACCGATCCTTTTCAGCGACGACTAATAGCAATGTGGTCTATCTGTGTCCATCACTGAGTTGAGCTCGGTGGACGCCACGTCAGACAGTGTCTTTCTTTTTGTTTGACATTTGTACCAGCTAAATATAGGCGGTTATCTGAGCATAGTTGTAATAGGCGATCACCGTTATCTGGACTTTCCGCTGGGATTCCGAAAGTGCCACCTAAGTGCCTTTCTGCTTTACTCAGTCTACTCACCTGTGCACTGAAGTCACCTGCATCAACATTTGGCTTTCGAGAGGAGGTTAGACAGTTTATGGTAGAACTCGTCCTTCACTTCATCCAAACTACAGTCAGTAGGCAGAGATTACAAAGAGGCAACGGCGATTCTCACTATTCCTTTTAGTTCTCACTGTGCCGTCCAGTTGGAAGTCGCAGAGGCAACTATCAACTGGGATCCAGTCTAGTAGTGAGTTTTCTGCCCTAGTGCTTAGTGCTCTGTGTACACCTGCAAGACTCCGAGAGCTAGCTTTCGAATCTCCAGAAACTCGAAGGGTGAATTATGCGGATTCACCAGATTGGTCAGGAGAGGTTAAATGGATAACCGCACTTGGATCATGTATGCGTGTCTCACAAACACAGCTCACATCCATGGCCCGAGTTCCCAGGGTCTTTGCCAACGAAGCCTGTTGACCAATTTGATGGAGGGTGTGGACATTGAAGGCTCCAATATGTAATTTGGAGCGTGGTTTGAGGAGACCAAGGATGCTGTTTTGTGGACTCAGATCGTTGTCGAATGCTGCAGAGGTAGGAGAAATTGAAGATGATGTAGTATCGTTAGTTGAGAGACGTGAAGAAAGATTAGAAAGTAATGATGTAGGAGGTGAATAACGGTCTGAGGAGACTTGAGGGCTGATTGAGTTGTGAGGGTGGTTGACACTTCCTGGCTGCCCATAACGTGAAAGGCTATTTTTGTAGCTTGTCTTAACCATTAAAGTGTCAACCAATCGTAAGAAATACTCTCATGTACTTTTAAAATGTCTTTAATCTATAGTTAGGCGGCTTAGCAATAAGACTGTGAGGATATATCACTTTAGACGGGAGTGGGTTCCTGAACACACAGCAGTGCATCATATAGCTAATACAGGTACAGGTAGCTGGAACAGCGGATTTTTACGCTGGATGAATGAACCTCTACACCACCAAACTTTCGTGTACTTTTCTGTCTAACCCACGTGAAACAACTTACAAACTAGATGATTACCTAATAACTATTGTCATACTGCTATTATTAACATTATTTAACTGCCATAGTTTTTTTCTTTGTTTGAAATATTGTAAAAGAAATAAATCCGCTAAAATATCATACTGAGAATGTCAGACTATATGGTTATTTTGAACTTTCGTTGTTTTGGGGCCAGATGGTCGAAAAGAAACGACAAGTGAACCAACACCGCCGGCCTAGCAGACCGTAGGGGATAGTGAAGTGTGTTATTTTGGGGCCGAACTTTTTTACCCCCCTCTTCCACTGAGAAGGCAGCATCAGCATGGCACTGCTGGTCATCCAAGGGGAACACCTTACTGCTGTCACATCCCGTCCAGCTAGCAGTAGTACGACTTCACCCCTCAGACCAGCATCATAGTGTAGTAATTTGCACCACAACGGTAACTGCTTTTCGTCTAACCACTATCTAACAGACCTTCCTGGTATGGCAGGACCTCGAGGAAACAAGTATTCCACCAGTATAGCTCGTTGGGTTATTGTGATATGCAGGCCCGACCACCACATCAAGGTAGAAGCTATTGGTCAGGACTAGGATACAGAAGGCCGATTTGATATTTGCCATCTTGCGTTAACTGTGGCACCACTTGGGAAGATACCCGATTACCTGTCAAACGACATGTATACTGCACTTCACTCCGTTCTGCCCTGTTGTATGATTGTGAGACATGGCCGTTTAAAGTTAGAGATAGGAAGTGGTTACAGGGTTTCGATTGTAAATGTCTTCGAATTCCCGTATGAGCAATGTTGAAGTCAGGTGAAGTTTACTAGGCAAGACAGCTAAGTCGATTGATGAGGTTGTGAACCTTCATTAACGGATGTCTTTGATTTGTGTTGCGCTTTCTCAGGCTTTGCCTACCGTGATGTGCCATGCTAGAGGAAGTTGGATTAAGTTAGAAGTCTTCATGGTGGCCAGAATAAGACATGGCACCATTCCGTGAAGTCCCTGACTGTTGATCTGAGTCATGTGGGGCAGTGTAGACTGCCTCGCTGGATTCCCCGAGACGATAGGAATCAATGGTCTGGAGGTACTTAGTGACGTTGCGTAAAGTCGTATACAATGGTGCAAATGTGTTCACTCCTTGACATCTTCGTAAGCTTGGATATTCGCACTAACCCTCATCTTCACTTGTTTATTCTATGACACAACTTTGTCTGTTTTGATATCAGTCTTATTCTATCCACCTGTGCCTTGTATGCTGCTGTTGGATTTGACAGCTTCAGCAGGTACACTTGTGTCTGTTTGTCTATCCGTCTCTTCGAAACTGTGCAACTCTACGTCTTGTGCAGATATCTGCTATTGTAACCTATTGAGCTATTGAAAATGTGTTAAATCATACTCAACTGTATCTTAAAATAATTTGTCTTTAATTTCTCATAAAGATTTCGTTGAAAGTAAATTGCGCTTTGATATGTTTCGTAATGACTTTTTTCCTATCTTGTATGCTCATTTACTTCCAACTTTTTAATTCAAGCTTCAAGTGAATTTGACCTGTTGAGATGGGTTCTAGTTGATGTGGATGATGTATTTGTACCTAATCGACATGTTTATTTTTCGATCGATGATATAAATGTAAGTTCTAGAGTTAATATTATTCATTGTTCTTAGATTTGTAAATAACTGTTTTCGTTTAAAATTTTCACCAGTTATCGATATGTGAAGAAACGCAGAAAATAAAAGAATGATAGATGGTTGTCCTGTCTAAGTTTAGTCATGACCACTCCTAGTAGAGTTTACTATCAATCTTTTTCCGAATATAGGTTAGGTGATTTAGGCTTCATAACAGGCAAGTTGCTCCTTATTGTCTGCTAAGTGTATTAGTCTTTATTTATCCATCTGTCTTTTGTGTACTTGTGTAAAATGTGGCAACTTAAGCCGATGCACTCTTGTGCGAGGTTCTACGTTGAATTTATCAGTCTTTATCTATGGAATTTAATGAACATTCAGTATAAGATTATAATTGCCATTTAATCCGTGTACCTGTTACTTAACATAATGATATCAATATTTGCCATATCGCAATTATCTTTTATACTCTAGGAACACTTGTCATAAAGTCCTTCGTTAAGTTAAATACTCTAAAATATGAAGAATTGACATAAACTGTTTTATCATTTACTCAGTTTTCGTTTTTGAAAATCCTTTGCACTAATATACACATCCATACTAAATCATAAAGTTGTCTATGTTATTTGCGAATTTTCGTCTCAGATATACAAACCTTGATATTCATTTTTCAAGTTATATTGTTGGTCAATCCAGCTGATTATTCAAGTAATGGAGAATACTTATAGCTCGTGTAGATGATCTTGGTTATCTTGCATTCTCTGAGTTAGGTTGTGGATTTAAGATTTAAACTACCTAGTTCAGAGAAAACATCATTCAACCAAGTTTATTCAATTGTTTGTCAAAAGACAAATGTATTACTCACTCAGATTTGCGGTGAAAAGTATTGCAATGTAACAGTCGGTGTAACTATCAGTTTATGATATTTCGTATCTGAAATATCTTGTTTATGTTGCATTCTATGAGCTGGGTGATGTAACCGTGAAACTTTCACTGTCTTTCCAGAAAACATCAGCAGTAACTTCATTGTGAAGTGAGCTATCTGGATTTCTCCATGATTAATTCAGTCGCTTGCTCTAATAAAGTGAATTGTGATTAATTGTTTCCTTTGATTTTTATGTGTCTGAAACAATTAGTCCTTTTGCTGGATAATGTAATAAGAAGACAGAGTGTGTTGAAATGTTGAGAAGTCAGGATATTTGTGTGTGATACCCTAGCTATTGTCATCATGACCGATATCGACAAACTTATTCACCGGTGTACCTATAATCAAGAATCTTAACATTCTTTATGATTGAATATCTTCGAATAATCCTTCATTCCTCATCCTTCCAACATATTTGAAAGAACTACTTCTACTGTGCATCTATAAGGTTCACTCCACTTTCGATGACGTAGCTTTGTGTAGTCTTTTAGGACCATTGCAACTTATGACTATATGTCACATGTAAAACTTCTGACTGAGGATTTAGTCAATAAAGTTTCTATGTATAGGGGATGCGTTAAGGATACCTTAATGATATGAAGCAAAATTGAGGATGCAACAAGCATTCTGAAGAGACTTGCCACTATGCAAAACCATCTCTGCTTATCTTTTAAAGTAGAAAATCATAATTATTTTCCTTTTCTTGACTAACTAGAAAGGTGGGCGTTTGATAATGAGATCAGTGTACAGAAAACTTATGTGAACCGGATAGTACCTAATCTTTCGCAGCTTCTATTCAATGTAGTACAAAAGGGATTCTGTTAACGGCTTCTTTAAAAGGACTCAACATATCTGTGCAACAGGTATGTTAGGAGAAATCGAATTCGTAACAGAGATACTATTGTTTAACGCATATCCCTTGAAGTTTATCGGTCGTTGGGAAAATGATTCGACGTTGCAATCTACTCTGTTTTGTCTTGTAAATTATGTGTACATCACGCTACCTTATGCGGAAGAGCGGGATCAAACACTGCAGTTACAAATGCATTGGGTGAAGTAATCCAACCCTCATTCTGGAGTTCACTTTGTCTTTTTTCGATTTATTTTCCAATTTAATATGAGTATCTGTCTTTTTACCTGCCACGTTAATTGTTCAGTTTGGAATTAATGTTACGATTTCCTTATGCTTGGCTGCATTGCATCTGTCTAGTTGTTCGTATTTTTTACAGGCTATGATTAAAGCCCAAAATTATTGGCGCACATTTATACCAAATTTTACATTCAATATGGGATACTGTGGTGCATTTTTCAGTAAATCACGTTGGTCCGATAAAATTGTTTACAATCATCTACTTAGTAAGTTTTTTTGAAAACATATTTTCTTACCTACTTTTTTCATATGAATATGGTTACAAAACATTCTCAACTTGTCCAGGTTGGTCATCGAAGAAAAATCAGTTTAGCTGCTACCAATGAGTAGTTTGCTAACAGTAGAGAAAACGCTCCAGAGCTAGATAGGTCATTTTCAGCCATCCATTATTCGCACCGCAGCAGGATTCGAACCCGTGACCTTCAGATTACGAGCCTAACGCTGGGCTGGGGTGCGAGACCCACTTGCTGACCCGAAGGCCGCGAGCCAGATTTTCATCTCACCTCTAATTATCACCTGGTATTAGTCTAAGTCTGCCAAATCACGGCTATTTTAGATAGCCACACTGATTTCCATTATTTGTTAATAACTAGTTCTTTTGAACCTTATTTGTAGAACGAAATTTCCATGTACTACCGTGAAGTATCGTCTAATTTCTCCGCATAGATTACTGAAGAAAAAAGCTTTCCAAACTAGAGTTTGTTTTATGTGTCATTACGATGAATTCATCTTTCCATATTGTTTGTCATGCTCAAATATCAAGGAAATAAGATCATTTTGTTCATAATCCATTGTAATCTCTATTTTCATCAGCGTTGTTGGTACGACTATGCAAAACATGATGTAAGCTTAAGTTTTCTACAGATGACGAATCTATCGTTAAAATCCTCTAATTATCATTGACTCAAAACTGATCAGAAAACATTTAATTCTGAAAAAATCTTTGTTGATTTTCATTATTATGACTTTTCCGAAGCTGGTAGGCTTCAAGCAATATTACTGAAATACCCATCGGGACATCAGAGAAGACAAGAATTTCAGCGAAGATTTCATTCTCCATAGCTGTACAATCGCAACCTATACATTTTGTTTAACTATATTGCATAGTGAAATGATAGAGAATATTTGTAGCTCGGGTGGATGGTCTTGGTTGTATTGTGTTCTCTGAGCTGGGTTGTTTAATCGTGAAGCTTTCATCGCCTTGCTAGACGATATCATCAGCACTAACTTCAGTATGAAGTGAGCTGTCAATATCTCTCCGTGAGTGATTTAGTAGCTTGCTGTGACTATGTGGTCTGTGATTGGTTGTTTCCTTCGATTGTTGTGTCATTAATTGTATAGACTTTCCTGTTGGCTGTTCCTCTGCTCCACCTCTGACCTTTCTGTTGTTTATCATTTTTCTTATTGGTTGATAGATATTGCATAGTCACAAAAATTATCTAATTAAACCTATTAACAAAGATCATATTGAATTGAGAATAAAAATTCTTAAATGTGCTGCAAGGTGAAAACTAGTCACAAAAGAGCATAGAAGCCACATAATTAACCCTATAGAATATAAAGTTGCATAATATGTAAAAATAATTTTCAAGGTAAAACATGAGCGAGGGAAGAATGGAAATAAATTAAAGACGATATTAGGTTATTAAGGTACGTCATAAATTGCGAAAAAATTGTGAATGATAATAAGAGAGACAGAGGTCGATGTATTGTTAACAATTTACTGTCCAAGGTAGCAACAAAGGTTGTACAAGTTTATTTTGTACACATAATCCCGATTTCTCCATGTATATGGTAAGAGCTTCTGCAGCACACAGAAGACGGAACAGCACCATTTTTAGTAAATTTCTTTTCACCGTGTAGATAACCGTGAACACTGAATCACTTGTGATGCTGTGACCAATGTTGACAAGGTGTTCAATTATTGCACTTCTGATCGATCCACTCGCACTTCTTTCCAGTTAAGTAGGGTAATGCTGTCTAACCCGTTTGGAAAACACGCGCATCGAACGATATGCATACGTGGCTCCACAGGAACAGGTGAATTGATAAACACATGAAAGTGGTCAAATGCTCAAGCTTATGCTTCGGGCTACCGGGTGGCACTGAACGACTGGAGAATACTACCCTAAACGTTGACTCGAAGAAAGTTTTCTGTAGAGAGTTTTAAATTCTTCCTTTCAATATTTCAGCAGCGAGGTCACCTTTGAAGTCAAGATTCATGAATAATATTGTCTCTGGAACTATAATATGTATCATATCATTCTCGTCACCCTATTTGTCTATTTTATCTGCGTTTTCCAAATTATCTATAAATTTTTCAGTGAACAGATCAGCTCCTGTGAAGTTGGAAAAAGTGTAGGATGAATAAAACTGGAAAACGTTCGTCATACTAGTCAGTTTAGTCGATTTACCCCATAAATGATCATAGGTTCGAACAGGATTACGAATGTTTGAGCATATAACATTGAGCAAAACGATGTGCTTCACAGGTTTTTTTCTCACTAAGAGAGACTAATACAAAGCTTATCAATAAGCGGAATGAAATATCACTTGGTCAAGATGTACAACTAGTATCATGGGTCCCAAGACGGGGTGAAGAGTGATCTGACTGGCAATGCCTGAATTCTGCCAGGTTTTCGAAGTGACGCTTTTTCCGAGCCCCAATGTATCATAAGTTGTTTATACAGACTGGAATCTTAGATAATATGTCCATTAGGTTGAGTCCTTTGTGGTTATCACAAGAGGATTTTCCTCCTCAATTGAAGATGGACAACCAGCGATCACGATTATTCAGAGCGGGGACATATCTGACTTCCATATACTAGTTAATGCGTCATCCAGTCGAATCAATAATCCCCGTTACTTTTGATGCCATTCCATCATGGTCTGTTGCCCTTCTCAACTTCGGCAAAGGTTGGAGTCTTTATCTCACTATTTTATTCAGACTGTGAGTTAATAGCATGCAACAGAAAAGTAGCTGGAAACCAGTTGAGCTGTTCTTCAAAATGTACCATCCGTCATTGTGGCGGATCACCGACCTATATTTCTTAGAAATTTATACTACTGTTACTACAGTTTCGCCGAATAAGTCTAAGTAACTTTCTACGATAGGTTACACTCTTTACTTTTCTATTTTTTTAAGTCAATCACTTGACAATGACTGGGACGATTAAAACTTAACGACTCATGTACATTACTCAAAACCTTTCTCATCTTATTTTGAACTGTTTTCACTCCCCATACACCCTAAACTTTCAAAAATACCTTCGCAATAATTGCAATGTAGTTTCCATCTATCTTTTCCTAACTTCTTCTAGCGATCGCTTAGGACTTTTACCGCCAATTTTACAGAAGACTGGAGATTGCGGCTGAACGAGTCTTTGTTATATCTGGTTAACATTCTTCTCAACTTTTTTTAAAATGAATTTTTACTATTTGCATGGTTGAGATAGTCTCAGAAGAGTTTTCCAGTTCCAGTCTTCTTATTTCCATTGAGTCACTAACATACATTCAATTAAACCAGCACATAGCCATTGTCACCAAATATATGGGGTTTTAGTTTACCAAAGTTTTGCATTTGCCAGGGAAGGTTAGATAAACAAATGAGCTGACATCCTGTAGACATATATCACAAACAGAGCATACATCCACTTAACTAGCCAATTGACTGCAACTGTCGTGACTTGGTGGTTGAGATCGCATGCCACAGTGAACCAACGGGCTATGCTGGTAAAACGCTTCTTCTCTAAAAGTTCTACCATACCAGAAAGGTTAGTTGGATAGTAGCAGGAGATAATAAAGATGTCGTTTTATTATTCGTGGTTATCCTTTGATAGGGATCCGTAGGCTAATTCCTATTGATGGCTGGACGGAACTTTGGGGGCAGTAAGTTGATACCTGTCGATGACCAAAAGACCATGTTGGCTCTGCTTCTCCTGTTGGAAGGGGGGTTAGAAATGTCAACCCCCAAAATAGCTCACTCTACTCTGCCCTTTGGTTTTCCGGTGACGGCGGTACTGGCTTTTATTGTCTGGTTTTACCACGTTAAAATCTCATTCCCACAATCGTAAAATATGACGTGTGTGTATTTTGCCAGGCGGGGACGCTGACAAAATGCAGGGTTTTCTAAACGCTTCGAGCAGAACTCTCATTATGTTCTTTATTTGTTTTGCAATTGCAGAATGCGAGATGATGCTTCAACGTTTATCTACATCGACTTCCAGTTTAAGGGGAGGGAGTGATTCGGTATACTTCATTGACCACTTCACGTGCTTTAGGAGTTAAATCAGCTCAAGTGAGTTGGTCGCTGACGAAATCTCAGCTTGGATACGAAAGACCCGGCTTGGATTTGCCAACTTGCATCATCTCTGGTGACAGCACAAAATCTGACCACCTGCTAAAGGATGATTATATTGTGCCGCAGTCTTATCTGTCTGTGTAAGGAGGTGTGGACTTCCTGTCTTGGGTCCGTTAGGTTATAGGAATCAATGACTAGAGACCTTATGAAATGGCTGAAAACTGTTGGGATGGCGCATATGTATTCACTGCTTGATTTCTAATGTTTGAAAATTTTCACTCTCCATTTTTCAAATTCATTCCTTTTTTCACTTTGATATCACTCTTTATCTACTCATTTGTTCTTTGCATCCTGATGTGAAGGGTGGCAACTTGAACCGATACATTCCTGTGTGAGGTTTTACGTTCATTTTGACTGACCAATTTCAGTCTTATACAGCAGTTAAATAAAGTGGTCGGTTCACACAACGACTTTACTTTTTGGCAAATTTTTCTACGGCTATTGGTTTGCATTTGATGGGTTGGATTGCATCTAGCTGTGATTAGTAAACAAGGATTCATTCAATTTATAGTATCATGGTGGTTTATTCAGTCGAATTTTCCAGTCTCAGCTGATGCGAATAGCTGGAAACTTGGAATTGAAGTTATGAAGATACAATGGTAATTGTGAACTTCACAGAAAAGCAAGATGAAATCAATAGTGTTTAGGTCATCGTAATCTAGCTGTAGATACTTGCAGTAACTTTTCAATTGAATTCAGGACTTTATGAAGATTATTTTAAGTTCCTCCGCCCCTCCCCCCCCCCCCATTTTTTTTATGAATAAAAAAGTCATGATGTGTTACCACCGATAAACACATTTCCCTTTAATTTGGCTTAAAACGTACAATTAGTTCATCATGCATAATGCTTCATGTTTTCACCTGTAAACAACTTTTGCATATTTTTTCGTCATATATGTTAATTTTGTCCAAGTGGGCGTACATAGACGTGATGCTACCTATTTTCGTTTAGCTTCAAACGTCGGGAGTTAAAACATTTCAGATTAATATTTAAATGTCCTTATGTGACAACTACCTTTAGCAGGCGTTTATTTACAATTATCATTTCTGATGCTCATTCAATACTCTTCTTTCAGAAAATCGTAATGAATTCTGGTGGTTTGATCATTTATGGCATCATCGCAGACCTCATATTATGAACAAAACGTGTATCAAACAAGATGTGGAACGTAATCGAAAGTTTGCCGAGGCAAGCAATAAACGAAACTGTCTTTAATATTTTTATTGAGCTTAATATTTCACTGCCTACCTTAATCCCGAAAGTTGAAAATCGAATGCTTTTGTACTGCGTTACATTTTTGCCTACAAAGACTAGAAAAGTTAAATATCTTCTTAAGATGTTGATGAAATCTCTGCACATACCTTACCGGCTTATCAATAGCAGCCGGTGGAAAAACTTTGAACAACTGATTAAAATTCATGTGCTGACGTTAGCGATCTTATTTTTAAGCAGTTCGAATTGTCATTAGCTGTTGTTAAGTACCAGACTCCTACGTTTTTTACCACTTGAATGTTTCATCAAGGTGTTCTTATTCATGGCTATCCTTTGATAGGGATCCGCAGGCTAAGTCCTATTGATGGCTGGCCGGAACTTTTGAATATACTCCATGTGATCTCATCCCGTATTGTGAAGCAATAAGCATTGATGACGCGCTTGTAAATTTATTATATGATATTAAATCCTTGTTCTAAATTTTATTTAAAGTGAAAGTTTTGATTTCTAGTTCTTCATGAATTCGTTAGCCTTATTCTTATTACTTGTTTCTTGGGTTCCTAGTGGAACATAAGGCTTCAGTAGCACGTCACCATTTCACTCTCTTCTCTGCGGTCTTTTGAACCTCGCTCCACGACAGCCCAGAAGCTCTCATTTCTTCCTCACATGATCTCTTCCATGTCACTCTCGGACGCCCAACTTGTCGTTTCCCATTTGAATCCCACTCAGGGGCCTGGTGCGTGATATCCTCAATCGGGCATCTCAGTGTATGTCCAATCCAATTCATCTCCACTTTCTTCTGTATATTTTTTGGGCAATAGGTTGTTGGTTGGTTCGTCACCAGCTAGATATAGTTCCTTGTTGCTTATTCTTATTATTCTGGCCATCTGATCTTCAGTATCGAGCCAGAGTAGGCAGTTGTTGATGAATATCTGTAGTTTGTTGGAAATGCCTTTCATGACGCGCCAAGTTCTGAACCATATAGAAACACTAACTTGACTGAATTAGTGTTGAATATCGGGTCTTGTTCTTCATGCTTGTTTCAGGTAAATGAACGTCTGTCTGGCTGTCTTTCCGATCCTTACTTTGACGTCTTCATCTGTGCCGCCACCTGTAGTTGAAACGATGCTGCCTAGGCAGGTAGGTGAAAGAGGCTACTTCCTTTAGGTTTCTCCCGTTGATAGTGATTGATGTTTGTTGTTGTTGGTTGGGTATCTTCATCACCTCTGCTTTCTCTACGTTCACCTGAAGGAAGTCCTGTCTTCGCTGTCTTTTGTGCCAACTTGTTGGTTTTCGCCTGAAGATCTTCGAGTTTATGCCACAAGACATTAAATACAAGTCATCAGAGAAATCTAAATCTCCTATGGTCTTTTCGTCGGTCCAGTGTATCCCCCTCTTCTCGTTCCTCACTGTTTGTTGCATGGTCCAGTCGACCACAATCAGGAAGATCATGGGTGATAGTAGACAGCCTTGTCTTACTCCTGTCCACTTCAAAGTCGTCACTGAGCTTTCCATTGTGAATTACTTAGCATGTGGCGTCTTCATGTAGTTGTTGAATGAAGTAAATAAAGGTTTTCGGCATTCCGTAGTGTTGAAGCAACTGCCAAATTACTTCTCGGTCGACGCTATCGAAGGCCTTTTCAAGGGGCAAATAATAATAATCAAATATTCTCAAGAAATTAAAAAATATAGCGGGAAATAAAATGCAAAGGATGAGAAAACTTTTCCTAATTTCTACGATCTTTGTTGAAGTATAACTGGATTCATTTTCAATGAAAACAAATTAAAGCTGTATCACTGTTTGATTATTCATTTGTGGGCGGAATACTTTGGACACCTCTTCGTTGCTGATCACCTGAACTCATGTTATTGTTCTTTCTGTTTATTCACATTTACCCCATGACATGCATTGAAAATGTTTAACATTTTTGGTCAGTATGTGTAACTGATACCCTAACAATACTTAGTTTTAAATGTAAACGTTAAATTATGTTGTAGCTTTTTTAACCCCGTCACTGACTGCTCTCTGTTGGCATATGGGCTCCTACGCGGACATCTTGATATTACCTGTGTTTCACTTTTTTTATATTGGTGGTAGACAGTGGCTAGCAATGGAATTCAGGACACGTGTTTCATCTTATTTGGGACTCGTCAGCTGGATATACCTGCCTCCCAGTGAGTGGTATTGCTCCTGCTAAAGACCGATTTCTTCGGTCTAATCAACGTCGGGATAATACAAGTAACAGCATAAAAGACTAAACCCACCTCACAAGAATCGGGTATTGCGACTGGGTGACCTAGTGGATAACGTTGTGGTGTTTGAAGCGATCAGTCCTGAATTCCGGTCTTGGTGAGGGCAACGTCGCTCACTGGTACGTAGCCATATCCTACTGACTAGTCCCAAACAGGAGGGAATGCACGTCCTGGAGTCCACTGCTTAACCATTACCCATCATTAAACTTTAATTACCCAAAAACATATATTTTTTAGATTCCTCGAAGTAATCTCTTCATTTAATTATCTCCTTTGTGTTTCTTCAACATTTACTATTTATTAGCCTTCCATTCTTAGCACCCACTCCTGTCTTCCAATAACTCTGAGACTAGCCCTGGGTAACCGATTGATTTGAACTTTTTTCGGTGCAACAGTGCTTCAGAAAAGAACTTTTTCTATATTAGACCGTGTAGTTCTAGTTTCTAGAATTAATTTATGCAGATACACTAGTATTGATTACCTCCAAGGCAAAAATCTGTGGCGTATGTTCTGCTGTCATGAAAATGCATGGATTTTCATTCTTATGAGTAGTTTATAGGTGTTTGAACTCAGCAGTCGTAGTCTCCTTTTTAGGGAAAAATAGTGACAGTTGGTAATGTTTTCCAGGCAACTTTCTCGCTATTTTTTAATATTTTCGTATTAAAATTCTGTCAATACATGCCAGGGATTTAATAGTAATTCACCGTCACATGAACTGTTTATCAGTCATATATAACTCTCTATCCTCGAGTGTTCAGCACTGATTGAAGTCTGTCGGTCAATTTTTCGAATCGCCTGTAAACTCCCTTATCCTTTTTGGTGAACTTTTAAAGAGCATCTAATTTTTCATTTTACGAAGCTACAGAAACGTTAAACTATTCAATCTACCTACTATTTGTTGGCATACTTGTAGCTCTCCGTTGTTTTACTCGATCGAATTATTCGACCTAAAATGGCTTGTGGGCTGCTGTGCGGATACCTCGATATTGCCTGGATATTTGTTGTGATAGTTTACTTAGTTGTTGCTAGCAGAGGAATCCGGTATGTGAGTTTCGTACTAGATTCCTCTGCTAGCCGCAACCAAGTAAATTACCTAATGTCTACGAGATTCGATTACTATGAAGCCACTTTTTTGTTAAAAACTGAGAATAACTTTAAAACGCCTCTGAAACATTCCTTGATGATCCATATTGAAATCTGAAGGTTCCAGTTTCAATTTCAGAGGTGATTGAAGGTTTTGGTACTGAATGGTGACAAGTAAGGATGAAAAAAACTGATTCAGGGGTTTTTAATGTGATGATTAGTGATATTGGGAATTATTTTCTCTTATATGGTACTGTTTTCGTGTATAATTTGTGCACTGCTGTTTCTTGAAAGCTTTTTACATAATCAGGATTTTCAAATGAAATATTGCTGATTCGTAATTATCAAATACCTGTATTTATTTCTAGGAGCATGACATTGCAGTTCAAGTTGGTTATTCAATTTCACCTCGTCATTCTGGTGTTTATCCTGTATATCCAGATTTGTATGATGTTTGGCGTACTGTCGCCAATGTAAACGTTACATCTACAATACACTATCCTTACGTCAGACCATCTGACTTCCGTCTGGGTTTCCGTTATAACAATATTCAGGTAATTCTTCAAAAAGTCAATATGCCTTATCGATAAGCTTGTTTGTATATCATTTTCTATATTATCAGACTGTTTCAATTTATACTATTTATATCAATAAATGTTTATCTAACTTACTCACTATGTTCAGTTTCAAGTGCAGTGTAACATTATTACCTCTTACGCAAAAACTAGTAGTAGAACTCATCAGTTTAGACAGAATTACATGCAGTGAGTTCAAGCTTATAATCTACATGACTGCATATCGAGGGTTTAATAACTCATATACAATTCGCATCTAAAAAAGATCACTTATGCTTTAAACATGAGCTGTTTATCTCTTGATATTTGACTACTTTCAGAAAGAAGTGGAGGCAGTCGCCATGTGACGTGTTGTGTAATTCTAGGGTTTGAAAACATCTGTCATCTTTTTTTGTTTATGCATATTCTAAGTAGTTCGATATCGGTAACACTAACTATAAGAATTTGATACTAACTGACCAGACACCAGTACCTCTTTGTAACTATCCCATTTTCAGTATTGATATCTTCTCGCTTTACGGTTTGCGAACTAGTGAGTCTTAATAGGGTGTTAATCTGACATTTTAAGACCTAAAGCTAACAGTGGATCTTATGAAAGCTTGATTTAAATTACTTGGAAGAGTTTTTTTTTTAATACATCAGTCATCGTGAAACAATTGATTACGAAACCGATCTACAAAAGTGGATGGGCTTCGAAAAACAGATAACAAACTTAAATTTTCGTAGTGGTCATAGAAGATCACCCCTTATGGACTCATGAGTTGCTAAATAAGTTCAAACTAAAGATTTTCATCTTAGTTCTATACTCATCTCATTCCATCTTAAAACTATTTGTCGATTTGGTGTTGACTAGTATTTGCAGTAAAGCATATGTAATTCATCATTTTCACTGTTGGTGGGTAGAAATACGATCAACACAACTTATTACGTGTACATATGACCTTTTCAATTCTGCATGTGTATTTACATCATAGAACTTGAAGATGAGTTATGCAAATAGTTGAATCATTCAGCCACTGCATACAACAAATTAAACTTTCTTTATTTCAACTATTGGTTGGTGATTATTTACTTGGAGAACTAATCTAAAAATTGGTTAACCGTTCAAATATCGGTAATCATTATTTATCTTCTTTAACTGACGTGTATGCGATATATTCAGCTAAGAATCATACAAGTTTCTGTGGTTCTGGTTAAGATAGTCAATAAAGCAAACATCATGTTGTCACAGGATGCTTGACACAACATTGGATAGTGCTTATCCGCAACAATTGTGGTCAAATCAGCTACAAACTAACTAAGTGGATAATTCGGTCTTTTTTATTCATTTCATTTTAGTAATTGATTACTGCATAGTGTATCTTTGTAGGTTCTTCCACGTCAAACATGCGGAATTTACGCTCATACACTTCATCCTGAGAATATACAAGGTGGGATGGAACAGTTAAATGAATATATTTATGGTGGAGCACTATTTCGCACATTTCTATTCAACCCGGTATGTTGTCTCGTATTATTCGTTGCGTAGTCATTGACCTGAATTAAACCTCCCATTTATCCTTGAGTAGATTTCTGCTTTATGCCGTTATTTATTAAATGAAATATTTTGTGCACAAATTGGTTTTCGTCTGAATAACCGATGTCATGCCATTAGTCTTAGTAATAGTTTACTTTGAGCAATCAGTCTACACACTATAAAAGTTAAGTGACAAAATATATTGCAGCATAGGAAATTTAAGAACATGACTTTTGATATTAAAGCGTACCAACTTAATTTACTGCAGTTTGAAACATCGTACCACGGAAAAACTGGAAAACGGCAAAAATAATGGTGAATTGAAATTTAGGGGTAAAAATGAAGGAAAACGGTTTTATTTTTGACTTAGCAAGTGAAAAATACATTCAGATGTCGAAACTTTATTAAACACTAGCCTCAGTGGACTAGATAAATATATGCTCATAATTGTGATACCTACTGACTCATTAAGCCAAATTGGAAACTCTCTTCGACTACAGAACAATCACGATAAACTAACACTTGTGTTAGAGAGATGGAAAATATCGACATAGGCCTTTGCAAAGCTGCGTAATATTTAATGTTGTCCCACCTTATACAAGCAAATCAAGCTGCAATCCACCAAGGCAAAAGATAGGCAAATAAGGAAATATAAGTACAAAAACTGTGAACAGTCACGAAAAAGAGTAATGAGACGATTCTGAAATTCAGCACAACGATTAAGGTCAAGACAATATATGGATGCACCTCGGTCATTCAGATCGATTTTGGGCCATGTTAGCTAGAGTTTCCCGCAATTCCAATCAGGAAATCTCTAATTTCATATACACGGTCCAGACTAAGACTCAAAGACTTTAGAGACTAATACCAGATTTTAGTTTGGCCATATAACCTTTTGCCAGCCTGAACATACTTCAACTAACGTTGTGCGATCAGGCAGATAGTAACTGGGCGTGCGTAACACATGTCCCAGCCATCTGAGTTGGTGTAGATTTAGAACGTCACCGACTGATTTGTCAACTTTTACCAAGAACGCCACATTACAGATGTGGCGACGACATGAAATATGGCCTATGAGACGAAGACAACGGTGGTCGAATACCTGAGGCATCATCCTGCCCTCTACCTTCATTGACTGTGGTTAGAAGTTATATGGTATAAGAGAGCCAACTGCAGCGCAGTACACTCAGCCGTTTATAGACAATCAGATATTACTGCGGTGGCACAAATGGCGTAATATGACAGAGGCCAGACAAGTCTTTTGTATCCGTCCCGAGATTCCATCGGTCACCAACACACCAGCGCTGACTCAACTTCCAAAGCAAGTGGGTGGCCAGTGTCCCCAACCAGTACAATCCTTATCGTTTGACGATGTGCTAACGCGGACCATTCCTGAAGGAACAACTTTCATCTGTGGGGTGAGAAATACTTCCTAAGCAATCTCAAATAGCCAACCAATATGTGCAAAAATACTGCATTTTTTCAGCTTCTTCACTTAATCGAACCATTTCATCTGAATACTTCAAATGTACGAAAAAGCCTCCTGTGACCAGAAAAACTCCTGTAAAGTGAGACGATGAGAAACAAACCTTCCTAAGCGCATTTGCGACGAGATGGAATCAGAACAAAGAGGGGACATCGTTGACTGGAATTACCCGATGTTGCAGGTGACCTCAACGCACAGGTGGGTAGACTGAGTGAGGCAGAAAGGCACTTAGGTGGCACTTTCGGAATCCCAGCTGAACGTACAGATAACGGTGATCGCCTATTACAACTATGCTCAGATAACCGCCTATTTTTAGCCAGCACAAATTTCAGACATAAAGAAAGGCACTGTCTGACCTGGCGTCCACCGAGCTCGACTCAGCGATGGACACAGATAGACCACATTGCTATTAGTCATCGCTGGAGAGGATCGGTGGAAGACTGCCGCTCCTTCTGGAGTACGTGTTTGGACAGCGATCATGCGTTGGTCCGAGCACGTATATGCCTGCGTCTCAATGGACGTAGAAAAAATTTGGCAACAAAACCACTACGAGTTCTGCTGGACAACGAAAACACCAAAGCCGTGTTCAGTGAGAAGTTGGCTAGGCAGTTATCGGAACAAAAGACTGTCACTCATCCAGAAGAAGCTTGGTGCCATCTTCAGTCTACTGTAAAAGCAGCACTGAAAACCTTAAGCGACTCCAAAATAATGGCTAAAAAGAGCCAGTGGATATCAGCAGCTTCTTCCAAACTAATGGATGCACGTGAATGCATCCCTGCAGGCTCTGAGTACAATGAAGAGCGAGCGCAACTTAAAAATAAACTGACGAAAAGTCTGCGCAACGATCGTGAACAGTGGTGGGCAGCAAAGGCTAAAGAGATGGAAAAGGCAGCGGCGATCGGTAACAGTAGACAGTTATTTAGACTTATTAAGGAGACTGGGGGGAAATGGTCAACAACAGTTAGTGAGGTTATAGCGGAGAAGGACGGATTCGATTCACTCGCAGGGAAGGCGACTGGGACGATGGGCAGAACACTTTGAGGAACAGTTTAACTGGCCTCCAGCCACCATTGCGCTGCCCGCTATCCAGTCGGACCCTGAATGGGACATAGAGACAGGTCCCCCAACACTAGAAGAAGTTGAGAAAGCGGTAGGTAGCCTGAAACGGGAAGGGCAGCAGGACCAGACGGACTACCTGCTGAGGTATACAAGAATGGTGGTAGAGTTCTCTTAGTCAGGCTAACGGAAGTGTTAGCCAGTATATGGGAATCAAATACGATCCCCTCCGACTGGTCTAAGTCACTCATCATCCCAGTCTTCAAGAAAGGCGAGAAGTCCTCTTGTGATAACCACAGAGGAATCAGCCTGACAAACATAGTGTCTAAGATCCTAAGTTCTATAATTCTCCGACGCCTGAGTGGAGCTCGGGAACAGCAAGCCCGAGAAAACCAGGCAGGCTTTAGACCTGGCCGTGGATGTATCGACCAAATATTCACACTGCGCCAGGTCCTGGAACATAGGCATGCTTACAGACGCCCGACAATAGCTGTATTTCTCGACCTGAAGGCGGCATTTGACTCCGTTGATCGAGAAGTCTTATGGCAGTGTCTGTCACTGAAAGGCGTGCCTAGTAAGTACATCACCTTATTGAAAGCTCTCTACTCGAACACTTGTGGGCATGTTAGAGCCTATGGTGAGTTGTCCAGGGAGCTATACTCATCAAGTGGTGTCCGTCAAGGATGCCCACTATCCCCATTCTTATTTAATTTTATCATAGATATTCTTATGGAGGTTTCCCTCTCGTCACCTAATTACAAAGACGTTGACCGAATCACAGGTGAATTTTCCTTAGATCTAGAATATGCAGATGACATAGTCCTGTTAGGTGAAGACGCTGACAAGATGCAGAGTCTTCTGAACACTTTGAGTGGGAATTTGAGAATGTTTGGGATGCGATTTTCACCACCCAAATGCAAATTTTTGCTCCAGGACTGGTCTTCAGCGGTACCGCGGTTAACAATAGAGAGTGAAGTGGTTGAGTGTGTTGACCACTTCACTTACCTGGGAAGTAGGATCAACCCGGTGGGTTAGTTGCCGATGAGATTTCTGCACGGATACAAAAGGCTCGATTGGCTTTTGCCAATTTGCGCCACCTATGGCGCCGCCGTGATATTCGTTTGTCTATTAAGGGTCGCGTGTACTGCACAGCAGTCCGCTCTGTTCTACTGTATGGCTGTGAAACATGGCCATTGAAAGTGGAAGACATGAAAAGGCTTCAGGTGTTTGACCACCGTTGCCTTCGTAGTATAGGACGTATTCCGTGGTGTCACCATGTGAGTAATGCAGAAGTTAGGTGTAGAGTTTTAGGGAGAAGAGGTAAGTCAGTCGACGAGGTTGTGAACCTTCATCGACTGAGATGGTTGGGACACGTACTACGTATGCCTAGTCACCGATTGCCTCGTCACACAATGTTGGCTGAGGTGGGTTCAGGCTGGAAAAAGGCCCGAGGTGGCCAGACTAAAACATGGCACCAATGTATGAAGTCTCTGACTGTTGGTTTAAGCCATGTAGGACGATGCAGACTAGGTGGTTGGGGTCCACGGGACAAGAGGAACCAGTGGTTGGAGACCCTAGGTGATATGGCTCAGAACCGAAGTCAGTGGCGCAGATGTATACACACATTATCCTCATCTTAACAACGCTATACCGAATCTCACTATTTTGTCACTCCTCTTTCCTTTCTTCTCGTACTTTATATTTCTTTTGACTGCATTCACTTATCTTCATCCTTCACCTCACTACCTTTTTACTTGATGTGCTGATATGAGGTGTGGCAACTCGGACCGTTACGCAGTAATGCCTGGTCCTATGTTGATATTGATGATGATGATGATGATGACTCACCTCGGCTATGACTTAATCTGGGTCATTCAAAAACAGAGCTCTCTGCAGAGTGGTGTCATTACCCAGCACCGTTGTCATTGGCAGACGCTACCGTAGGACGTCTCAACTGATGTAGTCGAATATCGCCGTAAGATCAGGAAATATAAATTAATCGGGTATCGGTAAGTGTGCCAGCTTTCCAGAACCTGGAGTAGAACACATATCTGGTCGATACACCCACTATTAAGTCTGAGACCTTCCTGTTTTTCTCATGTTTGCTGTTCCTGAGCTCCACTTAGATGTCTGTTAGTTGATTTCGAAACCGATCTACAAAAGTGGATAGGCTTCAAAAAACAGATAACAAACTTAAATTTTCGTAGTGGTCATAGAAGACCACCCCTTATGGATTCATGAGTTGCTAAATAAGTTCAGACTAAAGATCTTAGATAACATTTTCGTCAGACTGATTCCCATATGGTTATAACATGAGGAGTTTCCGACTTATTGAAGTCTGGGACAACAAGCAATTGAGACCAATCAGAGGGGTTCTTATCTGTTTCCCATCCGCTATCTAACACTTCCGTTAACCTTAACAATAATCCGCGACCACAATCCTTAAATACCTTTGGTACTAGCCCATCTAACTGTGCAACCCTTCCTCATTTCACGGTACTTATAGTTGTATCAACTTGGAGGCCATATATCAACGTTCCATTCAAAGTCCAACTGGATGGTGAACAACGGAATAATAGCTGGGCGCCAATCGAAATTTTTTTCGAAGTGCTCCACCAATCGTTCCAGTTGTACTACCCACTATCGTCTCACCTTCTATTGACTCTGCCCCATTTCTCGTGATACGTCGAAATAGCTGCTTTCTGCTATCTGTCGCCGCGACTTTTTAATATATGTAGCCTTCCCTACCATCCACTGCTGATGGTCATTGCATGAACTTCTTGTCAACCAACATTGTTGTTACTTCCTTCCCTTATGGTGCTCAAAACTTGAAAGGATGTACTCTCATGTATACATAAGTCCAGCATAAGCTTCTGATATATATGTATGAAAAATCATGTATATTAAAGCTTGATGAAAGCTTATTCGAAATAATATTGTTCGCCTATATGTCTTCTTCTTTCATTACTTGTTACTGTTTCTCGTTAGTAATAAAAAGTTGTAAAGTATTCATGTTTATATGTCCTTGTTATCTAGGTATCTATCTTTATGACACACCTTGTCAATTATGGAAATGATCGGTTAGCCCTTTATGTATTTGATACTGTTTTTGAGTTTATTTCCAACTGGACAAATATCAAATTGATTACATCATCTCCACTGAAATTAGCCGATGTATACACTGAACGTTTCAAGTTGTATGGTGTCAGTGAACTTCCTTTGTATTCAGATCCTTGTCGTAATTCACATCTTTATGAATTATGGCCGAGTCATTGGCCATGTGGTTCAAATCACTTGCCAAGTTTTATTATTATTGGACCGCAAAAAACTGGTTTGTTTTTGTTTGTTGTTTTATCTTTGTTCGTTTAGCTTAGTTCATATTTTTTGGCTTATTGGTAATCTTATATTCACATCACATCAACTGGCCTATTGGAACAATGTGAAATTTGATGCTTTGAGTTACCATGCTTTGAAATGGCTCAGGAAAAGTAGTTTAAGAAAATAATTTCATCATAGAAGGAAAGATAAGACTAAGGTGAATAGACCTACACCGTATTGTAACCAATTTTTTTGCATCTTGTATACCTTCGATACCCACTAAAACTGAACATTCGAGAGATCCTAGTTATCATCAACAGTTCTTCATACGACTCTTGTCAACTGTCACTGACCGCATGTGTAACACATCTTCTTGTTATGTTCAAGAACTCGTCAATATATCGACCGTTCCCGCCTACAACTAACTTCATCACTAAAGATTCACTAGTTCTACCATTCCGAACTAATATTCCAAATACTCGGGGATAATATCTCCCCGATTTTTTATATCCACTACTGTCAGTGTTTGTACTGGGAGATTTTCTTATCGAAATAACTAGTCAGGTTGCTTATTTTATTAGTTAGGATTATTTGACACGTAGTTCAAAATGTGCTCATGTATTAAATTGTGTGCTTTCAGTAGACCGTTTTCCTGTAGTCTAGTGGATAACAACAATCACGTATTATAGATATACGGGCTTCATCTACCATCTTCATTTAAGTTATACTACATGCGTACTGCTTGAGAATGATTATTGAAGTGACCAAGTGGACGTAACTGACAGAATAATACGAGAACGTTACTAACGCAGTGAGACACTCGGACTGAATACAAATAGCTACTGTTTTCCCTCAGACTTGATACTTCACTGAGCCACGAAAATCAGAAGACAAAGGTTGGCCTGTGATTGTAAGGAAGACACTTCATTCAACAAAAAACACATCATTTATCAGTTTTTCCTCAGAAAATAAAGGCACTAAGTCAGAAGTCGGATACTCAGTCTGATTGGTCAGCTGTTGAACAGAATTGTCCAATAAGGTTTTCCCTGCACACGCAGTAACATGAAGCAAAATTGAAATCCAAAACTTCTACCTTAGCGGCTGATGACTTTGAATACTGATTACGATGTAGGCCCCTTCCTATCCAGTACTACACCGTTTTTCTATTCATGTACATAACGCATTAACACTAATAGCCCGGATGGTCTTTAAAGCCTTTTACTAAAGTTTCTAAGCTTCAGTAACCTTCGTTAAATATTTCACACAGTTAACCAAAAAGTAAATGTAGTTGTTTTTATGCAGATTCAGATGAACTTTGCTAAAATATAAAAGTTAATTAATGTACAATAAACTCATTTCTAGTGTTTGGATAACAACAGAATTCAAGCAAGTCACTAACCATTCAGGTTGATGCAACTTCGTAGGTTGATGCAGTGTGTTTGATGTACTCAACATCTAAGTGGAAGACCAATCCCCAAAATAGTCGTCGACAAAATGAGTTTCCTTCAATGATATTTCTGTGATTGAATTTGGATAAATATAAAGGTGATCCTATTCGACCGACATGGTGCTGAACATTTAAAGCCTATATCATTACAAGTTAAAAGTTTTTTACCACTATAGTGTGCTGCATTGGTCTACATTTAGGATCGAAACGCAGCAGTCTCAATCGTATCCTTCTTTGTTTCGAATCTGATTAGCCGCTAGGTTTTGTAACTGTCCTAGTTTGCACCAAAAGGTAAATATAGCCCATTAATCTAAACCCTATCTTCTTTCAAGCTTTCTGTAAACTTCACTCCTCATCAATCCACGAAAAGATTCATATACATGAGTTGGTCAACAATAAGTTACCGATGTAGCTGTCTAATTTTTAGTGCCTAGCACTGATTTAAGTCAACCGGTCAGCTCAGTAATTTAGCCACTGAACTAAGTGATTCGTTAGAATCGCTAAGAGAAGACCGGTTTCATCGTTGTTACAGATACACCTTGCTGATGAGTGCTAACAAGCATGAAACTCAGATCCAGTGCTTCCTGTCAATTGACTTTCAACATCTCACGTTGAACACGTCTATTTAGGCTTTCACTAATGAATTATTAGTTTATCGTTTTGCCAATTTTTATCTAGGTTCTACAGCATTATTGCAGTTTCTCTTATTGAATCCTGAACTGATGGCTAATCAATTCCAGTATAATTCTACCTTCGAAGAATTACAATTTTTCAGTTCTGACGATATATATTCACGTGGTGTACATTGGTATATGAATCAGTTCCCAAATAATTTAATGATGTCTCCGAGTAGTCATGATAAAAGCAATATGAATATGCATCTTACTAATAATGACGTCTCATATATACGATTTGAAAAATCAGCTACATATTTTGATAGTTCGAAATCTCCAGCACGTATTCATGCCTTAATGCCCAAAGTTAAGTTGATTGTTCTTCTTCGAAATCCTGTGGAAAGAGCCTATTCATGGTATCAGGTAAGCATTTTTACTTGTAAAATGAAATTATGGATCTTTTTCATTTCCTGTCACAGCTTTCGTCATCAGTGATCTGATGTATGAGAAATATATGCTTGTTTGAATTGAACAATCTGAGCAGAAAATTAATCTTGCAGCTGTATTGCATATTAGCTAGCTTATTTCACTGCAGCACACCCTTCAGTAAAAGAAGAAGTTAACTGATTCAATGCTTTCAGGGAGTATTTTTGACAGCGTGGTTCAACTAGCTCCTCTGAAATATACAGGTATTATTCTTGTAATAATTAGTCGACTAACTGACCACCTATACGAATTGGATATTTAACTCAACAGATAGCGATTTTAATGTTCATCAGTTTGCTTTTAGAACTTTATCTGATACTTTTACATCTTAGAGATATGCGAATTGTTTGCGTCATTGGCTAGTGCCAGTTGAAAGCCTACTCAAGACTGAGGAGCACTGGAAAGTTGTTTTGTCTTGATTCGAGACTCATCACCTGCTCTCAGTTGTGTAATTAGTGAGTTGGAGAGGATCTATATCCATGGGTGAATACCGTCTAGTCGTTTTCATTTAAAAATGCAGAACGATCATGATTCATTTATATGCATCGGCCTCCACTACTATTTAAGTTGACTTAACATGTCGGGATTCTCATATGAACTAGAAATTCTACATATGGCTCCTAATTGAGTCGAAACGCACTTTCAACTAGTGACTAGGCAAAGAACTATTTTTTCAAAGCTATGATACATAATCTTCTGTGACCTTCGCTACGTTGGAATTGCAAGTAGTTACTCACTGATTATAGAAAGTAGCCGCGCTGTATTCTGAACTGTATGTTATGAGGGAAATGTAGATCATTGTACTCTGATCATTTAATTACATAGCAAAATATTATCTACGAGAAATAAAGTTTCTGCTTTCTGTCTTGTATGAAATCAAGGGACTGCATTGCTGAAGAGTCTCAATTTGAAATCAACGATTTTTTCACTAGTCTCTTTTTCCAATGATTCCTCAGATGATTTTAGTCTGTTATGTAATGTATTCTCAAATTATTTTATTTTTGTACACCGGTGGATCAGATGGTCTCGTTTTATACAGGCTTTGGTTAGCTACTACATTTTTATTAATTAAGTAGAGCAATGATGACAGCTTTAGCGAAATGGCATAGATCCATTTCGTCTCGCTGTTCTTCACCAGCTGCTGTCAAAGCTAAGTTGTAAGCAGCTGATGAGAAATGGCGAAACAAAATGGATGCATGCTATTCTGCTAAAGCTGCTGTTCTTACCCTACTTAAGTGTGTGAAGAGAAAGAAATGTGTGAAATTTACTAACTAGGCTTGATTGTGAAATCATCTTTCTGTATAAAAGAATCTACCCAAATGTGTTTCGTGTCGTTACTCCATCTCCGTATTCTGTACTCCTTTTATGGCAACAGGTCACAAAACTCAAGACTGTTTTCTTCGGTGAAATCATGTCCAGATAATATGAAACTCTATTTAGCAGTAATTGAACCTTCAGATCACGTGCTATCATTCAGAACCTTTAATTTTGATTGCAACCTTTTAAAGTAGACTTCCACAGAAATTTTTTTGTCACACCGACATAATAACTACTAAAATGATGTAATATGTAAAAAAACTGTAAAAATATTATCATTATCACAAACAACAAGTTACTCGACTGTAATCAATGGCGAACCAACTCTCTCCCCCTCTCTCTTTCTCTCGAGTACTTTCCCGAATCCGATTACTCATCCCTACAAACATGTGTATGTTTACGTCTTACTGGTTTCAGAAGGCAGATGAGAGTTAAGCCATAGCCGAAAAAGATGGGGCAATGATAACCTCTTATAACAGGCAGCTAGAACGTTGGGTGGAACAGAACATCTTGAACCACAGTTCGGCCTACCCACAGCAACACCTCAGTTGCGCAATATCCAGCCCGAACCTTAATGGGACGTATATATCGGTCCTCCAAATCTTCTCAAAGTTGGGAAGACTACCAAACCTGGAACGATACAAAACAACAGGACCTGACGGTTGCTTACCACACGTTTTTAAGGATAGAAGTCGGAAACTACTGATTAGAGAAACGGGCGTACTAGGTAGTGTACGAGAATCAGATATAGTGCCGTCAGACTGGTCTACTTCACTGATCATTCCAGTGCATAAGAAAGGAGAGAAATCTTCTTGTGGCAACTGTGGCTAATCATGTTGACTAATATCGGGTCCGAGATCCTGGGTTCCATAGTTATTCGAGTGAACCAGATAGGTTTCAGACACAGATAAGGATGCATCGATCCAATCTTCGCTCTTCAACACAATTTGGAAAACAGATTTACTTACTGCCATGCGACAGGTGCCATATTTGTTGACATGAAGGTGACATTCAGCTGTGAGGTGTTGTGGCAATGTCTGGCTGAAAGGAGTACTGAGCAAGTATATAACACTAATCAAAGCATTCTGCTCGAAATCACGCAGCCGTGTCAGGGCTTATGGAGAGTTGTCATCAGAATCGAAGACAACTGATGGTCTCCGCCAAGGCTACCCACTGCCTTCGTTCCTATTTAACCTTGTCATAGAGGTACTAATGGACATATTCTTACGTACCTTCGACTTAACAGGAACTAACCCCCTCGCGGAGGTCATCTGATTGACTTGGAGTATGCAGACGAAATTGTCGAGGTGAATGAAGACACTGACGCAATGCAGAGTCTCCTGAACGCCTTGAGTCTGAATCTGAGTTTGTTTGGCTGCTACGCATTTCGCACTTGTCAAATGTGTGGTGATGCTCCAGGACCGGTCTGTAACCACTCCTAGTTTAGGGATACGGAGTAGAGTGCGTCGACCAGAACCGAAGTCAGTGGCGCAGATGTATACACACATTATCCTCATCTTAACAACACTATACCGAATCTCACCATTTTGTCACTCCTCTTTCTTTTCTTCTCGTACTTTATATTTCTTTTGACTGCATTCACTTATCTTCATCCTTCACCTCACCACCTTTTTACTTGATGTGCTGATATGAGGTGTGGCAACTTGGACCGTTACGCAGTAATGCCTGGTCCTATGTTGATAATGATGATGATGACCACTTTACTTATTTGGGGAGTCGCATCAGCGCGAACGAGCTGGTTGCTGATGAATTCTCAGCTGGCAGATAGATGGCCTATCATCTCTGGCGTCAACTGGCGAAATATTAAACTAACTATTTTGGGATTAGTATATTGCGCTGCAGTCTGTTCTGTCCTGTTATACGGCTGTGAGAAATAGCCGTTAAATGTAGAAGATATAAAGAGATTACAGGGTATTGACCGTAAGTGCCTTCATAACATTTCCCATGTATTGTGAAATCACCATTTAAACAATCCGGAGGTTAGACGAAAGACACCAAGCAAGGCAGACGAATAAATCATTGGAGACCCTTAGTGACATGAATGAAAATCGGTTACAACAGCCTATATGCATCCACTCTTCTGGGTTTTCTAAAACTTGAATATTCACACTACTTTTGTCTACTTTAACATGTCTTTTTCTGTCCACTTATTCTGCGTATGCTATTTTGAGGCGTGGCAACCTGAACCGTTGCACTTCTGTGTGAGGTTCTTTGTACATTCATCCTTCTATTGAACGGTGACTGCTTACTTCGGACACCCAATTTTAGGCCAGTTCGTTACAACTACTTAACCCTCTACGCCAACGCAAACGTTTGCAGCCTCATAGTTTCATTAGCACAAGTCTCATCACTAGTTTTAACATACCAGATACTCACAGTGTTTATTCATCTCAAAAACTTGATGAGTTGATTGGTGAATTCAGTTTTTATACTTTACTGCTCATTAATTGCACAACTAAATTACAATATTTATTTGTTCACTGGAATCTTTTTGCATAAGACAGTGAATTATTGACACGTTGAAATTGAGTTAATAATGGTGAATAAGATGTTTTTCACCACTAATTCAGTCGACCTCCGAAAGTGTGACATGTCATTGAAATCGCAGATATCTAATGTTGCCATTTACGGATATTGTATTTCATTCCATTATTGTGTAGTGAGTGGTATTTTTCAAGAGTTTAGATGTTATCTGTGGATATATATATATATATATATATATATATATATATATATATATATATATATAAGCTAATGCTGTTTCCTGGTGAAAGTTGCATTCGAATCATAGATATCTGCCACTTAATTGCGTTTCCCGACATATAGCTGCTCCCTTGATGTGTTGATAAAACTTGCATACCACCATAACCCAGTGAGTTATTCCGGTCCTACCATGCCAGAAACGTCGGTTGGTCAGTGGTAAGAAAACAGTCAGTTGTCTTAAGAGTTTAAATCACTATATTCCGCTGGATTTCGAAAAGCAAGGTCGTACTGTCGGTTATCTGAGTGTATGGGACCAGTGCGTTGTTCACATGGATGAATATCAGCACCATGTACATGCTCCCTTTCCTATGGGAAGGTGGGTTAGAAGAAATAAGCCACAAAAATAGCATTCTCCATCCTTTCTTAAGATCTTCGGGTGTCGGCGATGTAGACTTACAGGTGGATATATGTCAGTCAAATTAGAACCTCAAACTTCCGAAACGGCAGTGTATGTAACCACTCTAAACCGGATGTCCCATGGGCTCTATCGTAACACACTACCATTGCTAACCTTTCTTTTTTAGCTACCTCAAGAAGATATCGACTTCCACAGCTTGAGCAACTGGAAGTGTCAACCGTTCACACAGCTCTGACCAAAACCAAGCTCCCTTTGATCATTATTAACTGTCTACATCTTCACCTTCCAATCTTTCTTTATGTCTCTCGGTCAATACTCCTAAATCGTCTTTAATTTGTTCCAGCTCTGCACACCTTGATAACGATCCCAGTTCATTGGACGGCATTCTTGATCTTCTGAGATGGCGCTGTAAACTATACCGCAGAGCTCTCAATGTCCACACTTCACGTCAAATCGGCCAACTAGCTTCGCTAACCAAAACTCTGGAATCTCAGGCCATGGGTGTATGCTGTGTTTGTGAGACACATATACAGCAATCAAGAGTGGTTATTCACATCATCTCACCCAGTCAAAATGGGGAATCTGCAAAATTTACCCTTTGAGTTTCTGGAGATCCAACGGCTAGTTGTTGTCCTCCTCCATGTGTAGGTATAACATAACACTAAGTGCTAAGGCAAAAGGTGCACTGCTCGACTAGATCACAGTTAACAGTTCATCATTTGCAACACAACAGAATGGTGTAGTGAAGAGAAATAAGAATAGTGAAACTTGCCGTTGTCTCTTTGCAACCTTTCTTTACGCATTTACTGACTGTATTTCGGATATCATGAAAGGTACGTCCTAACGGAGAGTCTCTGGCCTTCTACTGAAAAACAGAAAATCAGATGTGATTGTCGTAGTGGACAATTTCAATGCACAAACGGATAGGCTAATCCGGACAGGGAGATCATGTGGCACTTATGGAATCCTACCCTAATGAATGTATAACGGCAATCGCTTACTACAAGCTTGCTCAGACAACCACCTACTCCTAGCCAGTACGAACTTCAGACATAACCAGGGATATTGTTTGACATAGTGTCCACCGACCTCAACTCAACAGTGCATAAAAATAGATCACATTCTTATCAGTCATCGCTGGAGAGGGCCGGTGGGAGATTGCCAATCCTTCTAGAGCACGTGTTTGGATAACAATCGCAACTTGGTTCCGGCACGCGTATTTCCGTTTCTAATTGGACACAGTAAACGTGTAACAGCAAGACTATTCCCAGCGGAGCTCAATATTGATTATATTATGATTGCTTTCACAGAGAATCTGGCTAAGCAGTTATAGGTACAGAACAAAATCATCGATTCAGAATAAGGCTGGTGCCATTTCCAGATGACTGTAAAAGCAGCGTCAAAGACCGTAACTGACTCTGAGAAAGTGGTTAGATATGACCAATAGATCTCAGCGGCTTCTGTTGAACTCATGGATGCACACAAATACACCCCCTCCACGCTTTGAGCACAATAAATGACAAAAGCAATCCCACTTTGGTCCCTATACCCTTACAGAACTTGATAAGTCTCTAAATGTTGTGAAACGAGGAAGAGCCTGATTACCAGATGAACTATTAACTCAGTGATTTGATTATTGTGGTCTCTGATTATGGCTCAGGTTAATTGAGGCGTTAGCTAGCGGATGGGAAGCGGATACGATCTCCTCAGACTGGTCTCAACCACTGAATGTCGGTCTTCAAGAGGTCGACAATTCCTCACGTGGTTGCCACACCGGAATCGATCTGATGAACGTGTTATCTAAGATTCTGCGTTTTATAACTTTCAGATGTCTGAGTGGAGCATCGGGACAACAGATACGAGAAGAACAGATATAGGCCTCAGGCCTGTTAGGTGTATTGACCGGATAATCACCCCACTGGAGATTCTGCAACATGGTTCCTGTATTTCTTTACCTTAATCCGGTATTCGACTCCTTAGATCGAGTGCCATTACCGCATTGTCTTCCACTGAAAGGGGTGTCGATTGAGTACGTGACCCTGTCGAGGTCTATCGTAGAATCACTGCGAACTTTTTAGAACCTTAGATGGTTAGATGCAGCCACTAAAATCGAGGATATGATGGGGCTTCAGGTGTTCGGTCACTTGTAGCTTTCATAGAATAGGTCATGTATTGTATTTTCAGCACCTCAGTAACAGAGAAATCAGACTTGGAGTTCTACGTTGAAGAAGAAGGTCACTTAATGAGTTTGCAAGCCTACACCGACTCAGGTGGTGAGGACATGTACCACGCATAGCTAGCTACTGTTCGCTTGGTCTCACAGTGTTAGCCGAGTTAGGTTCCGGCTGATAAAAGTTTATAGGTTACCAGTTCATGACCTCCTTGATTGTTGGTCTAAACTGTTTTGGGAAATACAAGCTTCTCAGTTGTGTCCACCTGACAACTGGAAAGGGTAGTTTGTGACTCTAGGTTATATGGCTGAGAATCAATCTCAATAACGAAGGTGTATCCATACATTACCTGGATCGTAATCGTTGTGCTGAATTTCAGAATCGTCTCATTACTTCTTACTCTTTTTTCGCGACCTTTGTCTAGTTGTCTACCGTTCGCCTTGCCGCATTGTAGCTTAATATGCTTATTCTGAGTGTTATTTGAGAGTAATGCCGGGTCCCGTGATAATATTGATTTCCTTGTCGTGCTTAGTTTCTATAATCCCCAAAAGGTAACCAAAAATTGTTTTTCAGTTATCTTATTTCATTTGTTTTACTTCATAAAGCATCGTCTGGCTCATCAAGATATTGCCCCACAGTTACTGTCCTTTGTTGACCTAATGCTATACGGTCATAATTTGACTGAAACAGATCTACTTTCTATCGTACCTGCTGACAAGTTGAATAAACTTTCTATCAACGCTCAGAATTCAAGTGTGTTACAGCACATTGTTTCAAGCATTCATCATTTATGGTCACGATGCATTAGTCCAGGGAATTATGAACAACACTTACGTAACTGGCTGAATTATTTCCCAGCTTCACAGGTTTGTTTTATCATTTTGTTAAAACTGGATGTGTAGCTTATTCGTAAGACGAAAAATATGAGCAGTGATTTTTTTAACTACCTCATTTGTGTTAGCTGTATAGTCATATTTTAGATGTCAATTCCATCACATAAAAATATTCATACTAGTTTGTCAGCAGTACAATTTTCATAAGTTGTCTTCGACTAGAAAAATAACTCAAGAATGAGCTTCTGTACAACTATAGACATGGTAGACAGGCGAACAGATCATAGACATATAGGGGGGGAGGGGAGAGAGCAAACTAATGTGCGTAGTATGTTAGTTCCTTGATACATAATCGATGCCTTACCGACCCCAGAGATGCTTCAAGTAGCGAACGGCTTTACAAATCTGACTTGTGATTTCGTCAGTGGCCAGTCAGTTTACTAAGGCCATAGCGTTTATCATCTTTCATTCCTAGCCTCCAAGTAGGTATTGAATGACTTTGGATATCAAGAATTTAGATATAATGTCAGCTAAACGGACTCCCACGAAGTTATCATGCAAAAATTCCTCCCGTTATATATAAACTGAGATGATCAACGATTTAGACAATTGCGATGGCAATCCTTGTAATTTTTATACACTTACTAGTATCTAAGTAGACCTCCACCATCATGCTGTAAATCTTATAACAACAAACGTTGAGATCCTGTTGCTTTGCGTTGTTTCTGATTCTAAGCAGCCGCTTCAGCGTCAATGTGAACCATAGGATTGACTACCACATCCTATTCAGGTTTAGGAAGGATGTTAAGCAACTGTGGCTTGGCTTTAAGCTAATTGAACTGGTATTCGAAGTGTTTAGCCAGATGTTCCAGTCATCTGTTCTCAACATTTACCAGTTAGCCATTCTTCTTCATAGTGCTCTCACTGATCATCGCCTTTTTCTTTCTGGTTTATTCAACAGAGGTAAATAACTGCCAAGTATTAACCGCCACCGAAACCTTTCCTATCTGTTTTTCTTTTGCCACCCACCAATACTTGTTGTCATTACAAAGACTGTTAGTTTACAATCAGGCTGTTTTCACTCCTCACTGTCACCCTAAATGAATGTTAGTGTAGCAGTGAATCTGTGATGCTGCAGTGATCCACCATCTTTTATGAAATTTGGCTGTAACTTGCTGTCTTCACTTTTTCTACACAAGACTGAATATTAAGCCGGTCTTCGTCAGAGGGAGAATTACTGTGACGTTCTATTGAATGCCTCCTAAGTAAATATAGATTTGGCGTCATCATCTAATCAAGTATAAACCAGTTCTGGAGCAACAGTTTGCATTCTGGTGGTTACAAACGTGCACCTCAAACTGCAACAATTCACGAGTACGTAACATGTCTGAAAAAGAACATAGGTTCCTTACTTTGACGAAATCAGCGAACTTAATCCTAAGAGACAGCAGAAAACAGACATTTTAAGCTGTATACAGCCGATAAATACCCGTGAAATAAAATGACATCGTTTTATCGGGCAAATTTGTTCCTCATTGCTTTGTTTAGATATGTTTTGTCCAGTACGATGACGCAGCATGGAATCTTAGATATATTAAATTCATTCTTGTCAAACCAACTCATTGAAGTGGATCACAAATATTTCAGCATGAAGTGCACATTTAAGACAAAAGAAGCAGCAATTCAGGCACTGAACTTAATCTAATGTCTTACCTGTGGATGCATCAGATCGGTCCAGGCATGTTGTATCATCCCCAATGCGAAATGTCAGTCACACAACAAACATCTGAAAAGAATATGATTGAACCAGTTAGGAATCTCTAAGACACTATATTTCCTTTTTCAGTGACTCTTGTGACCTAAAAGATAATTCGGGAGTATTTGAGGTGACATCCATCGTTAGGTGGGACGTACTATCCTAAGTTGATTGTTGTTGGTCCATCGACATGGGATTTTCTAGATGTTCCAAGGGTGCCTTCCCGACCAGCTGAACTTGCATACTTGACTGTGAAGTTACCCGCCAGTATGACCATATCTGAACTTCCTAACTTCCTTAGGAAAACCAACAGTAAATACCATATTTTACATCCTCCGACCTACAGTCAGTGAACGCATATCCTGAAACTATGAACAAGTATTGACGAGTCTTGCAGTTGTTTCTAGTTCTTACAGATCCACTTAACCAGGAAGCACATAAATGACTCAGCTGGGATCTCATTGAGCAGTGTACTTTCCTCCATTGTATTTAAAGCTGGGCATGGACCCACAACACCGCAGGGTGCAGCGGAAGAGTGTCCAGATACTTCACACATATACATTGGCCATGTGTGGTCAAGTGAGTAATCGCACCTGAGCTCTGTATCCAAAGCTAGGAATCAAAGATGATGTCAACGTATTATCACAGGAATGTGGAAAATAGTTAGAAAGCGGAGTAGAGGGTTATTGGAAATCGGAAGGGACTTCAGTGCGGATGTAATAATGGTTGATACTTCCTGGTTATTCAAACCGTGGAACGGTTTTTCTTGGAGTATATGAAAGAGAAAGATGACTAGCACTACATAAACACACGGCCTAAGTCATAAATTGGTGTGATGAAATTGATCTGATTAGGAGCAAACGTCTCAAATAAATACCATCTCACACTGTGACACATCTAACAAACCAATTACAATGGGATTGTTTACTCCTTACTATCCCGAAATTCTATCCTTGTATAAGGGACTCGAAAGTTTGTGCTTTCTCATATTTCTAATTTTGCCTAAGATCGGCCCACGAAAATAAAATGTGCTCAACCTCGACAAGTGGGTAAAGTAAGGCGTATCAATGATATTGTGAACGATTTTCACCTCAATGATAATAATTTTGATGTTGTGTTTCGTAAACTGGGCGGTTTAATAATGAAGCTTTCATTCTTTCTAGACAATCAATTCAATATAAAGTAAACTATTTCTTTGAGATTGATTTAGTTGTTCGTTCTAACTAATTTCAGTGTCACAAGTTGTTTCCTCTGAATGTCCTGTAGTTAGTTGCATATATCCTATTGGTTATTTTTTTGTTTGACTTCTGATCTTGTAGTCCCATATCTTTTTATCGACAGTTGGTAAATTATGTCTCTATCTTTAAACCTTTATATCAAGCTTCTGAGAACTCCCTGGTATTCATTTATCCAAGTTCTCCACATTTCCAAAATCGAATTCATGTCTAGATGTATTTGTGTAAGGGAGAAATGTGATGACATTTAGGTATCATAAGATACTGGTGTACAGAACTGAGTTGATTACTTAATTTAATGTAGTATCTATCGCAGTGGTTGCTATTGTTTTCTGAAAAGATATTCGGTTTTTTATCATTCATTATTGCTTTCTTTGATGGGCATAATACAGAATAGCAGGAATTTGTGGGTTTACAGGCTTAATCGATTCCTAACGGTCCCAGCACTCTTGTCGTGATCTCCAATATATTCTGAATGCATAACAGGACAGTCTTTTTCTGACTTCTGTCGATGCCTTCGGAGTTGGTACTAAATCGGACAAGCAACTAATACGTACAGTTAACTGTTACCTCTACTGAAGTACATGTTTTGTCCGTTTTTGCAGTTTACTTCATGAAAATATTCATTTATACCTTCCGAATCTTACAGGTATTACTACTAGATGCTGATAAATTTTCTCAAAATCCTGTACCTACTATGAATGTTGTACAACAATTTATATCACTTCGTAGACATCTGGACTATTCACAATATTTACAGTAAGTTAAGCAACGATTTTTAGTGCGTGATATTGTTATTTCTAAGATAAATAACATCACCTAAGACGATCGTACTAGTATCTACGACCTAGAATACCAGTGTTCATAAATATGCAGTTAACACTAACACATGAAAGCGCCAGCAAAAGGTTATACCCGGCCACTATTTGGGCTTATTAGGGATATCGGTAACAAGAAGACGGTCGTTACTGAAACAACCACCCGAAACGGTGGGACACCGATAACGACTTAGAAGAGGAACAGAACACCTTGAACCACAGTTCAGCTGCCCGACATCCAACCCGAACCTTAATGGGACGCATATATCGGTCCTCCAAATCTTCTCAAAGTTGGGAAGACTATCAAACCTGGAACGATACAAAACAACAGGACCTGAAGGTTGCTTACCACACGTTTTTTAAGGATAGAAGTCGGAAACTACTGATTAGAGAAATGGGCGTACTAGGTAGTGTATGAGAATCAGATATAGTGCTGTCAGATTGATCTACTTCACTGATCATTCCAGTGCATAAGAAAGGAGAGAAATCTTCTTGTGGCAACTGTGGTTAGTCATGTTGACTAATATCGGGTCCGAGATCCTGGGTTCCATAGTCATTCGACATGTAACCGGCGCTGGTGAACATCGAACTTGAGAAAACCAGACAGTTTTCAGACTAGAACAAGGGTTCATCTCCTTACTTTCACCCTTAGACAGGTTCTGAAACACAGGTGAACTTTCGAATCATTTAGTCGGATTTCAACGACCTGTTTGTTCACTCCGAATCTGTTGGTCATGTATTAATACAAAAATTATCATGATGGTGTGCTCAGTTAGTTTCAGAAGTTGCAACTTAGTAACAGAACTTAAGGCATGTGAACTGAAGTTATTGAGATTTCTTTTTTTTGTTGTCGCATGAATGATTCTAATTGGTTATTTTTTTACTGACAAGGATATGACCTTATACAGAACTGGTAGAAACTAAGATAATTCTTTTCTTTTTTTTTATTCCAGCTTCAATCCTAAGAAGGGTTTTTATTGTATATCTACAAGAAAAGCATTCAGTCACCTTCATCAACACAATCATGGTTGTTTAGGTCAAAGCAAAGGAAGAGTATATGAACGATTAGATCAGGATATCTTAATGCCAAAATTAATGCGGTTGCACTTTGCCAAATTGAACCATAAACTGTATCAACTGTTACAAAAACAAACTGTGTGGCATAAAACGCTGACAATGAACACAAAAAGTCTTCCATCGTGGATAACATAGGCAGATTAGATAAGGTGATAGTTACTTCGGTAAACGACCCTATGCTTACATCAACTGGTAGTGCCATTATGATGATTTTTCGGTAGGTTAGCATTTCACAGTGATACTGCAATTTTTCAAAATACATAAAAATATTTTTGTGAATATTTTGCTCTGTCTTTATGTACACCCCGTAACAAAAGGTAGTACTATCTATTTTACATTTTGCTCACGTTTTTTCAACAATAAAAAATCATATATTTTGGTTCCAAAAAGTTTTGCGTTCGTTGCGTTACGAAATCGTTTTTTAAAACCACAAGGATGGTGATGCTCATATGGATTTTAGATTCTAATATCCTTGGGAATAATAGCATCGCACTGCAGTGTAAATATACATATACATTTAGATAACCTATGCCAAGCAGAATAAACTATACAGTTGACATTCTACAAACAACCATTCCCAGAGTAACTATTATATACAAAAAGACAGCAGCATTGGTGTATCCACAAACAGACTAATCAACGTAGAACATCAGCTCAAATTGCCACACTTGGCAGTAGTTCACAAAAGTAAAGTGGACAAAAAAGATTAATATCAAGTGACAGCTTTATTTACTGATTACTGAATAAATACTGTCGCTAACTTTAATCAATTGTGCATTTTATAACTGACTATTTTTCACTATCTTCATGTCTTAAATAAGCACAGTACACCTATGTTGATAACCGTACAGTATCTTTACCATTCTAATCTTTATTTATGACCTGCTACAAACAGTCAGGAAGTAAAAGGACTATGATTTTCTCAAAGTATAGTGAAGTACGGCAGTGTGAAGTTACTCAACACTACCCTCCATTATTATACTAGTCGCAATTCTCTGACCACGTTTAATGGGAACATAGGTGACTTCTTACCCTACAATCTACAGGAAAATCAACGCTTATTGGCGACATTGGTGAATTTATCATATTTTCTGCACATTTTGAAGGCTGTAAATGGCTTGCTTAGTGTATAATATTTCACTTAAGTCATTTAAACAATTACTATTATGATTATTTGTCCCTTGGGTTCCTAGTAAAACATAAGGCTTCCGTAGCACGTCTCCATTCCACTCTGTTCTCTCCAGTTTTTCCAACCTGGCTCCACCACTGCCCACAAGCTTTCATTTCTTCCTCACATGATCTCTTCCATGTCACTCTCGGACGCCCAACTTGTCGTTTCCCATTTGAATCCCACTCGAGGGCTTGGTGCGTGATGTCCTCAATCGGCCTTCTCGGTGTGTGTCCAATCCAGTCCATCTCCACTTTCTTCTGTATATTTGTCGGACGATGAGTTCTTGGTTGGTTCGTCACCAGCTAGATTGAGTTCCTTGTTGCTTATTCTTATTATTCTGGCCATCTGATCTTCAGTATCGAGCCAGCGTAGGCAGTTGTTGATGAATATCTGTAGTTTGTTGGAAATGCCTTTCATGACGCGCCAAGTCTCTTAACCATCACATAGAAGCACTGACTTGAGTGAATTAGTGTTGAATATCGGGGTCTTGTTCACGCTTTATGCTGAGTGTAGTAGATCTCCACACTGATTTCACATTAATGCAGGAAGACCTGTCTTGCTGTCTTTCCGATCCTTACTTTGACGTCTTCATCTGTGCCGCCACATGTAGTTGAAACGATGCTGCCTAGGCAGGTAGGTGAAAGAGGCTACTTTCTTTAGGTTTCTCCCGTTGATAGTGATTGATGTTTGTTGTTGTTGGTTGGGCATCTTCATCACCTCTGTTTTCTCTACGTCCACCTGAAGGAAGTCCTGTCTTCGCTGTCTTTTGTGCCAACTTGTTGGTTTTCGCCTGTAGATCTTCGAGTTTGTACGACAAGACACCAGACAACTCATCATCATCGACGAAATCCAAATCTCCTAGGCTCTTTTCATCGGTCAAACAGCGTATGTCCCTCTTTTCGCTCGTCACGGTTTGCTGCATGATCCAGTTCACCATAATCAGGAAGACCATCGGCGATAGTAAGCAGCCTTATCTTATTCCTGTCTTAAGACGTCACTGAGCTTTCCATTGTGAATTACTTGGCATGTAGCATCATACAGCATAGCATATAGCTGCTGAAATAGGTTGATAAAAGTTTGTGGCACAAAAGGCGTAGTTATGAAGCAGCGGCCTGCCAGATTACTTCACAGTCGACTCTATCGAAGCCTTTCTCAAAGTCGATGAAGTTGAGGTAAAGATCCAGTTGACTGCCAATCTGTTCTATGATGATGCGTAGCGTTGCAATTTGGTCCGCACATGATTTGTTCTTACTAAATCCAGCCAACCTGTTCCGGTCGTAAGTTTTCAATCCACCGCATCTTTCAGTCTCTCCAGGATGATGCAGCATAATATTTCGCTTGCTTGGAGTGGATAGGATCATGATTCTGTGCAAGTCCCTGCAAAGACTGAAGGCTCTCTTCTTTGGGAGTTTGACGAAATAGACCCTCTTCCAATCACTCGGAAGGTACCTGTCCTTCCTTACAAACCTTCTATTATAGTGGTGCGAGCACGTCCACTGTTGCCTCTGCGTCCGTTTTCAGTGCTTCTGGAGAAATTCCATCTGGTCCAGCAACTTTTCCGGATTTCAGCGACTCTACGGCGCTCAGGACTTCACTTTTGCTTTTGTCGGAGGGCTTGTGTTCACTGGTAGTTGTGTGGCTGGGCTGCTGGTGGTATTTCTGGACGAGTTGCAGGCAGGTGATGGTCGACTCAAGAGTTTTCTGAAGTGGTCAACCCATTGTTTCATCTCTTCGATAACTAATTTTCTTGCACTATCTTTCATTGGTTTCATCTGCGTTGATCTCTTCTCTCCTAGATAGTAACCTGCTTATTTTATAATACTGTTGTCAGGTATCTATCCCTCTTACCTGCAGACTGTTCTGCTTCACTTGCAGGTGTGTCTATAAAAGTGTCTTTTGTCTTTCCGTCCACTCTTCTTCACTTCTTTGTCCACTGTAGTGTTTTGTAGGTTGTATTCAGTTCCTCTTTTTGTTGTTCATCCCTGCACCGCACTGCACTGCACTGGTTCAGCTTCTGCTTCACCATCACTATCATCCGACCAGATCCATTCCTTGTCCTGTTTCTTCTTCATTCCCAGCACGGTTATGCAGGTTTCCTTCCACGCCGCTTTCAAAGAGTTCCAGTGTTCTTCCACTCAGGTTTCGTCGGATATATTGTTTAATGTCTTCCATTTTTTCCTGATGACTGACTGGCGTGAAGATGTCCTTTGTAGTTTCGTCCTCCACTTTCTGTTCTGGGTGTTGAACTGTAACTCGAACTGTGGTCTATCACCAGCTTCTTTGAATTGAAAGCTTTCAACTTGATTTTGGAGGTAGGTTGTTTGCACTAGATAGTGAAGTGAGTGGTGTAAACCTACATCTGCTCCCCTTCTTCATCTCATCTTGTGTCCAGTAGGCTGCGTCTCCACTTTCTTCACATTCAAATGAAGTCGATCTGATTTTGAGTGTAGTGTGTCCTGGTGTCTGGTGAAATCAAATCCATGTCGCTGCCTTGTCAATATCCTTGTGTTTTTACACACTGCCTGACTCCAATCACCAAGTCATTAAATGCACAGAAGTCTGCAAACAGTTCTCTATTCTCATTCATCATTTCACCGAGTGCTTCTCGACCTATGTTCAGTTCTCTTCCTGTGTTGTCCGCTCCCCGCAGTTTGGCATTCATATCACCCCAACCATCAGAATTTTGATGTCGCTATCACCAACTGGAGTCTTGACCAGTACTGGCTGATTGCAGTTGTCAGCAGAATTTCTCCTTCTTCTCTTGATCCCCATTATTTGTAGGTGCGTAGTGTAGCATCGTGTGTTTGTGACTTTCCTTCCTTTTCAGTTGGATCCGTCTTGCTGTGATGGTCCTGATCCTGAAGGAGGAGATATTTTCCCACTGCTTGAGAGAGAGAGAGAGAGCCTTCGATGCCCTTTAAGGGGACATCATGATAGCCACTCGAAAACTCAGTGTGCTCGTGGTTGTCGTTTGGGTGACAATATCCGAGTAGATTATTGACTCTCCAGTTGATAGTTTTCAGAGTCCACTTGCATTCCATTTGCAGATTCCTAGTACTTCTACGCTCTGCCTTCTCATTTCTTTTGTAATGTGGGCAGCCTCGTTAGGTTCAAACACTGTACGGATATCCCATGTCCCCATGTTTACTTTCGGTTTCGCGAAGAGAAGATGCATCGGCCAATTGGCTTCCCGAAGGCTTTCACCAACCGATGTCATTTCGTCTCTCCGATTCCAGGGAGAAATAGGTTTGTTTTTACCTTTTATATTTTCTTTGTGTTTCGAAGTTTCTGTAGCGATTGAATTGGCTTTACGGGATAGAATTGTTAGCCCTATGCCCAGTCTTCCCTCTTTATGTGGGCTCAGGACCGGCTAGTAACTAGTTAACCAGGCAAGGTTCATTCAAACAATGCCCTGACTCAATCTACTTACGGTTTTGAATTTGGATCATTAACTGATTTCTGCATACGGTCCTAACTAAAAGTAGAACGGTAGGACCTGATACGAAGAATAAGACTTGTGTTTGTAGTTGTTTGTAGACACGATGTCCAAATCAAAAAGAGAAGAACTACTCACACGATTCATTGAATTCAGAAAAGTCAATCATAAATATACATACAAGTATTTATAAAAGCGGAAGGTTAATTAATGTTTTATCAACAAAGAATAAATAGTAAGATGAAGATGAAACATTCAGTAATCTCACGGTTGGAAGTAAATTAGAGATGTAGATGCGAATCGTCGTTATACTATGTCTGTATGATTACAAATCACAACCTATTTCTATATTGACATCTATATGGAAGTCTTTAGGCTATATGGAATCTGAGTGAAGTTCAGTACTAGATATTTAACTACGACCACTAAACTGAAACTTAATGAGCCCATTCTGGCTAAAACAACCTTGCAGCATTATTGACCAGTATAGTATATGTTCCAATATCATACTTAAACCTTCGTCTTCTTACCTGAATGTAGCCTACTGTGAATTTAGACAGTAGGAATAATGATGCATGACTTTAAAAATAAGTCAACAAACAATGAAGAATTGTGTTATTCTACTGTTTACAAAGCTGTATGCAAAAATAATACGCTTGAACTCTATTAAATTTTCTATCAAATGCATAATCAGATGTCATACTCTTTTCAAAAACACTACTATCACATAAAGTTGACTAGGGTGCCTAGAACAGTGTCACAGAACAACACTCTAAGTATTCTGACTTTACACCTTAAAAAGAAAAAAGACGATAACTGCGGTGCACAAATTCGATTTAGTATTGGTACACTTTCAGTGTTTACATGGTCAGGTCTTATACTATGAGGTCAATGACGGTGGATGAACTAAATCTCCTTTCAGCTTTGTACTGGCTTTACTGAATTACTTTCACCAGAACAACCAAGTCCATCAACGCCGGTTACTGACTCAACTTGCTTAGTTGGATGCTTTAGTGAGTGGTCTGACTTTCCAGAATTACTTGATACCAAAGAAATTGTCAATTTCAAAGGTGACTGGTGACGATTGATTGTCCCATTAGAATATTTACATTCGAACTGTTCGGATGCAGCTACGGAGCTTTTGTGTGTAATCATGTCTCCAGATGATTCCAAGAAAATATCTTCTGTTTCTGTGTCATCATCTTCGAGACGTTGTTGTTCTGCTATACGTCTAAAAGTAAACCAATTCATTACTAAAAAATTAATATCAGATAAGAAATTCCAATTCATTAGATGCAGATAGTTGAGAAGTTTCAGTGTACAGCTATCTCAATCAGAGAAAATAATAGCTGCTGGAAATCTCATTGAAAACATTCTTGAAATACGCTTACTAGGACTTAAAACATGACGGTCTTATAGCTTTTTATCACTTCAACAATTAAATGAATTATGTGAGATCTAATCTAAATGGCCCTACCAAAATCTGTGACAATCAATTTATGCATAAGAGAACAGAATTAGCGACAACCGTACATAAAGGTGCTTAGTTGGACAGAAAGTTTCACTTACTTATTTGCACGTCTTGAACTGTTTCGTCCTAAACCCATACAATTAGATAAATGAGCAGCATATCGTGTCGCAGCAACCTTACAATTACATTTTCCGCACCGACAACAGCTCGTAGTTTTGTTGAGATCTCTACCAGAACCTGTATTTGAAGAGCCACAGCCAGCACTGTCTGACAAATATGGATTAGGTTCAGAGGCAATAATATGAAAATATCCTAGCTTAATTGCACGATGCATTGTGAGAATATCATCCATTAAACATGAGTCAATCAAATCTGTGATAAATTCTTGTATAGCATCCTGAAGATCACCATGCGTGACGCCAAATGGTTTTTCCATTGTGATACTAATGTAGCATAAAAGGACTGTCACAGTCTATATATGGTGAGAGAAAAAAATTAAGAAGTATATTCTACACACTACGGCAACTTGATAAAGTCTCAGTTAATGAAACAAACCTGATAATGTGACTGGGACCACTTTGTGAAAACTAAGCCATCAACCAGCCGCAAAAGCAACTTTCAGATGTGAAATAATTAGTAGTTCCATGATTATATATATATATGTCGCATAAAATCACAAGTTATGCTTGCAAAGAAGCTTCACGATCTGTTCACAGAATATCCTTGAAACAAAGTAATATTGGGATTGCCTGATGATATTACTGCGATCATTATCAAGACGAACCTAGCATTACTGCGTAAGGTTCCAAGCTGCCACATCTCATACTAGCACACCAATCTACAATGAGTGACCATGCGTTAGTTTCAGGTCGTATATCCCTGCATCTCATGGGATGTAGAAAAACCTTAACACCAAGACCAATACGAGTGCAGCTCGACAATGAAAACACTGAGGCCGCTTTCAGTGAGGAACTGGATAGACATTTATCGGGAGAGAACACTATCACTCATCTAGAAGAAGCTTGGTGTCATCTCCAGTATGCTGTAAAAACCGTTAAAGACCGTAGCCGACTCTCAAACAGTGGTTAAAAAGTCAGTTGATATCAGTAGCTTCATATGAGCATCTCCACAAGCTCTGAGTACACTGAGCAAATGCAGCTCAAATGTTGACTGAAAAGTCTAGGCAATGACTGTAAACAGTGGTGGGCAGCGAAGGCTACAGAGATGGAAAAGTTAGTGTCGATAGGTAACAGTGGACAATCACTTATACTTATTAAGGAAACTGGGGCGAAAAGGTTACCAGTTAGTGAGACTATAGGGGAGGAGGAAGGGTCTGCGATTCACTGACAAGGGAAACGATGATTGGAACACTTCGAGGAACAGTTCAACTGACCTCCAGCTACTATTGGGTTGCATGTTACCAAGTCGGATCCTGAATGAAAGATTGAGATAGGCCCCCAACACTTGCAGAAGTTGAGAAAGCGGTAGGTAACTTGAAACAAGAAATGTCAGCAGGAGGAGACGCACTAGTTCCTGAGGTGTATAAGGACAGTGGTAGAGTGATTTTAGTCAAGTTAACTGGTGTTAGCTAGTGTATAGCAGTCAAGTATGATCCCCTCTAATCACTGATTATCCCAGTCTTCAAGAAAGGTGAGAAGTCCTCTTGTGATAACTATAGATGAACCAGCCTGACGAACATAGCGTACAAGATTATAGGTTCTACAATTGTTAGATGCCTGAGTGGAACTCGGGAACAGCAAGCCCGAGAAAAGTAGACAGGCTTTAGACCTGGTTTTGGGTGTATCAACCAAAAATTCACACACCGTCCGGTTCTGGAACACAGGCACGCTTACGACGCCCGACAATAGCTGTATTTCTCGAACTCAAGGCTGCATTCGACTCTATCAATTAAGAAGTCTTATGGGGGGTACCGAGTAAGTACATCATCTTATTGAAGGCTCTTTACTCGAACACCCGAGGGCGTTAGAGCCTATAGTAAGATATCGGGTGAGTTGTGTACGTCGAGTGGTCTCCGTCAAGTATGCCCACTCACTCCATTCTTATTCAACTTCACCACATACTTTCTTGCGGAAACCTCCCTTTCGTCATTTGACCATGTAGAGATTGATCTGATGACAGATTTTTGTAGTAGACCTAGAATACGCAGTTGACATGGTCCTGTTGGGTGATGCTGACAAGATGCAGAGTTCTGGACACCAGGAGTTGCAATCTGAGAATGTTTGGGATGCGTTTCTCGCCATCCAAATCTAAATTTTTGCGCCAGAACTGGTCTTCAACAGTGCCTTGGCTAACAATAGAGAATGAAGTGGTTGAGTGCATTGAACACTTAACTTACCTGTAAAGTCGGATTAGCCCTGGTGGCCCAGTGGCAGACAAAATCTCTGGACAGATGCTAAAGGCTCGACTGGCTTTGCCAACGCACGCCATCTGCGGTGCCGCCGCGGCATCCGATTGTCTATTAAGAGTCGAGTGTACTGTACTGCAGTCCGCTTTATTATACGGAATCGGTGTAAAACATGGCCATTAAAAGTATAAGACAAAGAGAAGGCTTCATGTGTTTGACCACTGTTGCTTTCGTAGCATACGCATTCACAGACTTTGCAAAACGCTTGAGAAAGTGATTTGGAAGAGCCAAGCCGGGTTTCCTTCAGGTTGTGGATGCACTGATCACGTATACACTCTTTGCCAGATGCTTGAACATTACCAGACATATTGCAGACCAACAATCGTGTTTCTTGACATTAGGACTGCCTTTGATTCGTTGGAATGAGCTGTACTCTGAAATCGTCTGTTACAGAGGAGTGTCTGAGAAATGTTTTGAGATCTTGAAAGCCCTATATAATAACACCTCAGGTGGAATGAAAGCATATAACTATCTGTCTCTGTTGTTCCAAACCAGTAATGGGGTTGGGCAGGGTTGCCTGATTTCTCCGTCCCTCTTTAACGCTGTTAACGACGAAGCCTTGAGATAGCTCTGGAGGTGCGTGGTGGTGGTGTAGATCTATCACCCGGAGAACAGCTATTTGACCTTAAATGTGCGGAAGATATTGCTTTACTGTGCGATAACACACAGGCTACTCAAGTCTCATTTAATCAGTTGGCGATTAGTGTCCGTGTAATGTGTTTTGGACCGTCGAAGTGCAAAGTACTTTTGCAAGATTGGCTGTAGTTTGTGTCTGCGCTTATTCTTGGTGGTAAGCCGTTGGAAGTACTCGAAAAGTTCGTGTATCTGGGTGGTTGTGTGAGTGCCAATTGAGGTGTGAGTAGTGAAATTTCTAACCGCATATCTGAAACCAGAGTAGCATACTCCAATCTACGTCACCTTTGGCGCCATCACGACGTTGGTCTGACTGTGAAATGTTGTGTTTACAACGCTTCAGTGACAGCAGTTTTGCTCTACACCTGTAAAACTAGCCTCTCTGAGCCGAGGATATGCGACGACTCAGTGTGCTCGATCATCGCTGTCTCCATAGGATTACTCTTATCTGGTGGTAACACCATGTAAGTAATTCTGAGGTACACCAGCGTGTGTTTAGGCATGGTGAAGATCGTCATCCAGTAAGTGAAGTCATCTGGAAACATCGGGTTCGGTGGCTAGGATATGTACTAAACATGTCGTCCTGACGGCTTCTAAGCCGTTCACTGTTTGCTAGCCCCGGGAATGGATCGAAGAGGCGGAGAAGCGGTCAGTGTATGACGTGGCGCCGTGGGATGAAAGATATTTGTACCGGGTTGGTGCACCATGACCCCTGGGTGGGGTCCGGGAGACCACGCAACTCAGTGGCTTGAGACGTTAACATATATGGCTCAGAATCAAAACCAGTGGGGGTCATGCTGTAGCTCTCTTCTGTCATCTGCTGCTGGGACGTAATGGACGTTTTTTTGAATGTATCTTACTGGACTGCCTTTCTAGTCATTTTACCCTTATTCTGTTCTTTTTACTCATTTCCCTTTGCTTTATGCCTTCAGAATGTTGCAATATTATTTTGTATGGCACATTTTTTGTTGTATCATGTTTGTGTTCTAATAATAAGTGAATAACAAATTTCAACTTCGAGGAGAGCTGGAAGACCGAGATTCATGTTCCATTAAGGTTCAGGCTGGATGCTGGCCAACTGAACTGTACCTCAAAATACTATAGATATGGATGGAATGCAAAAGATTACTGGGCTACTTTGAAGTTTGCTTTATTTACATATTTCTCGTAAAACGGGTAACAAAGATTTGCAATTTGAGCAGTGGTACTATGGAGGATATCCGAATCATCTACAAAAAATAGTACCAAAATTCGTCTGTATAACCACTTCTAATCTATTTTGAAAAAAGGTATCCTCACCAATCCCCTCATAGTATACAATGAAGCAAATGTTCACTAGTGGGTTAGTGAAATCCACCACATGGTTTGAAAGTGACTACACAAAAACGCTATTTGGCTCTTCCGAAAGTTACAGCAGCGAAGGTCTTCAGACACTAAACTATTCAGTGAATGACTAATAGAAGTGATGTGGATACCTACTTACCTGCCTCTTCACCATCTAAGGGATAGACTTAAATATCAACCGTCAACAGCGGGACAGCACACAACGTATCTTTATTGACTGTCCTTAATGATAAAGGCTCCTTTTGTAAATGCTGAAAGATTATTAACCATCCTTTGCTTCAAATTACCGTCTTATTCTGTTCTTATTTTATGAAGCCCAACTACATCTACTAATTACATAAGAAACTCATCAAATTTCTCTTCTAAGGTGTCATCGATGCGCTTATTTTTTGAAGTCGATTTCGGCTGTTTAATCTATATATTCAACTACTGGACTGAAGATGCAGATTGTGCATCTTCTAAGAGAAGTAAGAGTTAACACAGCTTGTTTTAGGTATTAAAATTTAGGAAAGCAAATCTGATGTCATACCAAGTTCACTTCACATAATCCGGTCTCCTACGTAATGTGTTAACAATAATTCAGTGGTCCCTTTGTCCCAGATGAAGTAAGTATTAATACAGACCACGAAATCTCAATAGATTGCAGCTGACACTAATTACTGCAAATATTTGAAATCAACCGAATACGCAACTGATCCCCGGTGGGCACGAGTACTACAACTGTCTTAAAGTGTCTGACATCCCAATCCTAAAACATACTGATCTAGGATGTAAATCCTATTATAATGTCTATAAATTACAGGGCTATATAAAAAAAATTGAGGCAAATAACCTATCGCATTTCGATCAACTTATAAAATACTACTGGTTTTCAGACTTTCGTTAAGCCTTATATATCTTACTTCTAAGAGAGTATATAAAGTTAGGTTTGTGAAAGGGTTAACATACCCCAGTCAACAATTTCGCGCCAAGTAGATCAATGGACCACTCGATACAGAAAACATTGGGTCAAATGTCAGGACAGGCGTAGGATTTTGCAGCACTCCCTATATTTGGCACCATGTTTTCTGACCCTATGTTTGGCATATTTGGCCCTACATCTGACCTTAAGCTTTTACAAATGACCTGACATATGGCTTCAGGTATTTGCTGCTGGTCTGACTAAAAGTCCCCCAAGGTTTAGCCCCATGTGCCCTAGATCTGGCCCCATATTAAACTCACGGCACAATGTTGCCCTACTTGGCACAACGAAATTATTGACTGGTGTTTGTCTACTCATTGCGTAAACTAAACTTTATGTACTCTTAGTTCTAGGGTCAATTCAATCAAACGTAACATGATCAATTCTAGTGACACTGAGAATTCATGATAATTATGTGGTGAATTAATCTCATTAAATTTCGCGAGGTGAAAAGCTAATAAATAGTGAGAAAAATCCCGAATAAAATTCAGGATTTGCTGGCTGACTCAAAAAAGAAGAAACTCATGAAAACGATTGCAGGGAGTACAGAAAACCAGTAGCATCGATGCTATTGTTTTTCGGTACGAAATTGTTGGATGTCCTACAACAATTTTGCGAAACCGAATGGGACAACGTTGGGCCATGAATCTGGTATAGCGCCAGATGTAGTACACGTGGCCTAACCCTGTATTAGTAGGGTCAAACGGGCTTGTTTCGGGGTCAATAATCAGTATGCGGGGCCAGACGTTGCATCAAATGTAAGAGCTGAGGGCCAAGAAACAGGGCCAGATGTAGAGGTAATATTGCAAAACCTGATGCCTAGCCTTACATTACACTTCCTTCTACAAGTGAGTTATTCGTTTACTTGGCAACTTCAGGCTTCATAAAACCTCATTCTTTTTATATATATATGTATATATATATATATATATATATGAAAATGGGAGGTTCGCTCGGCACTTAACTTGTAATACACATCCTACTGCGGTGTCAGTCCCCAAAACTCAGCTGCATGACCTTCGCAACCTTTACAGCCGCCCCTCAAGGATGCAAAAGTGACCCCTAGTGTAGGTGCGAAAAACAACTCATCTAAATTACTTATCAGGTGTATTTGTTTGAATTCGGCCATCATCTTTCACGATGGCATGAGTTGACTTTTTCCTGCCGATATCTTACTTCTTGAGCACTTTTACCTATGGTTCAAAATCTGTCCCAATATCTGTTTTGAAAGCCTGTACAAACCAACTGATTTCTCCGCCATCGGTTTTGTTTTTCAAGGTACCCTCCTAGATCTCCAACGGATAAAGCACGCTCCTTGAATGGTGACGTGTTTTCGCTCGTCTCTCAGCTTTTGGATTTTTCCACATTATATCATATTGACATGTCTGCCCAAAACGCTAGGTCTGAAGCTTTGACACGGATAACGCGGTCGTGTACAAAAACGGCCGATAACACAGAGAGCCTGAAGGAGATGCTCTCCGCCACGCAAAAGCTACCAGCATCCTCGAATAAAGTAGGGTTAACACCAAAGGATAACACAGAGAGACCTGGAAACAGACCTAGAGCTCCAGCTGTGGGCACGCCACCTCGCGTGGGGACCATATTAGGTCAAGTCTCCATACCTCCTACCCGGCCCCAGGGGACGTCAAGCGTATGGCCAAAGACATCGACCGCTAAAGCCTCTACGAAACCCATTCCAAACACCCACACACCGTGACTGAGAAACAACCAGTGGAATTACTCAAACCCATTGGGAAGTCGGGCGTGCCACCCACAACGAACCCAGGTCACAGGAGGACCAACTCGATCATTTTGTTCAACGTCGATGTATCGACAGACTCATTGTTGGTCGAGAGGGAACGGTTTGACAGCCGAATGTGGACCGACTACTGTCAGATGCTGGGACTCCCTCCCCTCCCTGCAACTTTGTGTCGCCTTTCTCGAGGAAGCCGTGCACCCCGAGATAAGCCACCCCCTTTACGTGTGTCCCTAAATACCCCAAAGAGGCTGAAGACACACTCCTCCTCTCGCGACAACCGGACGTTGTTAATGCCTGTAAAATTCGGGCCAGGCCTGACAAGCCATGGTCAATAAGAGAGGAGGAGAGAAAGTCAGCGGTTGGAAATCCCAACAGAAACAACACTATAGTTGTACATGGGATTCCAGAATTGCCAAGTGACCGCTCGGTCAAAGATCGGTACTTTCACGACGTCCAACAATGGCAATGGCTCTCAACCAAAGTTGGTCTCAACAGTATACCGGCCAACAGCGTCAGTAGACTGCCAAGGCCAGCGCACCTGAAGACCATACCCAATCCCAGACTACTCGCCGTCCAGTTCGACTCATATGCCTCCCTCACAGACGTTCTACAGGCATGGTATAATGCGAAGGATCGCATGGGTGGCTCAATACGTATATGTGAAAGTAAGCCTAGACCCACAAGGCAAGAGGAGAGACGACAACCACCAAGACCTCTGGAGTCAGTGGTCGTCACACAGGCGCTGACCAGTGAGTTAGATACATCAAGTAAAGAAGCCACCACTGCCACAGCCCCCACCCAAGTTAATAACAAAACACCAAAAAACGGAACAATGCCAGTCCTATGAGGACTGGCGAGGGTAGACCCAACCACATAAGCTCTCATCCTGCGAAAATACACAACCAGACCTCCCCTCTCACCAGGCACACTCTAATATGTATGTACAGCAACGTTAGGGGGCTAAGAGGGAAGGTAGCAGAAATGAGGACGCTGCGTGCACATCAGCACTCCGACATCATATTCATCACCGAATCCTGGCTCTCGCCAGACATCTCCGACGAAGAGATGCATGTTACTGGCATGGAACTCTTCCGCAGGGACAGGGAACATAGAGCAGGAGGAGGAGTGGCTATCTACGTAAACTCTGTTTAAAGGCAAGGATGGTTAGCGATACGGCCTTAACCCAGCTCCCAGAGTCCCTATGGTGCTACTTCACTCTCCACAGTACCAAATACCTGCTCGGAGTCATATATCGGTCCCCCACCAGCTCCCCTACACATAAGGAAATGATCATCAAGGCTATCTTAACGACTTCCTCTGCAAATTACGATTCCGTAGTCATTGCCGGCGACTTCAACACCCCGTCCATCCTCTTCGAGACGGAAGGGAGACGCATCAGATCCTTCAATCAGAAGCTGAAGGATGCAATTAAGACTGCTGGCCTCTCAGAGAAAGTGGGTGATGCTACACGCTGGGGACCTAACGGAAACGCATCGCGCCTTGACTACGTTCTGACGAACGATGAACTTCTCATTGAGGATGTTTGCATCCAACCTCCCCTTGGCCTCAGTGACCACGCTGTAATCACCTTCTCCATGATAACTAGGGAGGCTCTGCAACTGGAGACGCCCAACACCTTCCCTTGCTACAGCAAGGCCAACTATGAGACCATGAGGGACTACCTCATGAATGCATCATGGCCAGTGGACTGGACTCATCTCACAATAGATGAACACTGGTTGGAGGTGAAGAAAATAATCACTGGGGCCATCAGTCACAGTGTACCAGAAGTAACACACAGACAATCAATGAGAACCTCATGGTTAAAGCGTGGGACAGAGAGGCTTATCCGGAGCAAGAAGCAGGCTTGGTTCAAGTGGCTTACATCACGCAGGGAGTCTGACTTCTTGAACTCAAAAGGATTCGCAATCTCTGTAACATTAGAGTGCGTAACGACAGATTTTCCTACCAAACAAACTTGGCAGCGAGGTTACAAAGCAACCCCAAAAACCTGTACCGCTTCATGTCAAGAAGAAAGTCGACCAGTAAGGGAGTGAATCTTGTCACAGGCCATGACGGGAGTGTGCTAAGCAGTCTAGAGATTGCCGAGCTTTTGAGCTCACACTTCCAAGCCCAACTCAGCACTGACACAAGATCCACACCGACTCGCCACGACACCGACCAGGTCGCAAATAACGAATACCTCTGTCACGTCTCTATTACAGAGAAAAAGGTGTTCGAGAAGCTATCTAGGCTACGTCCGGGCAAGTCCCCTGGCTGCGATAACCTGAAACCAGTGGTTCTGAAAAACTGCGCCGAGGTGCTTACCAAACCACTTCGCAACCTCTTTGAGCACTCAATAGACTCGTGCAAACTCCCTAAAGAATGGAAGAGTGCCATCTTGTCACCCATCTTCAAGGGAGGAGACAGAAAAAGCCCTGGCAGCTACAGGCCGATTGCCCTACTCCCTATTGTGTCGAAAGTGTTGGAAAGCCTGGTAGCTGACACCATCTGGGAATTCCTCAATAGGAAAACACTGTCCACACTCCTCAGCACGGCTTTCGTAGTGGTCGCTCATGTGCCACCAACTTACTAACCGCCTGGGACGACTGGACACAAAGCTGGGATAATAGAAAACCTGTACATGTTGTATTTCTCGACCTAGCCAAAGCATTTGACAGTGTCCCACCCACAGTACTGCTTCACAAGATCATGTCAGCTGGTATAAGTGGACCCCTACTCTCTTGGTTCAAGGAGTACCTGGAAGGGAGGCAGTTCTGCACTAAAGTGAACAGAATAAGGTCGGAGTGGAGACCGTCGACGTCAGGAGTATCCCAAGGAGCAATCCTAGGACCGCTTCTGTTCCTCCGTTTGTCAACGATCTGCCAGACAAAATATCCTCACCCATCCTCCTCTTCGCTGACGACATAAAAATTTGGAGGGTGGTAAACGAAGAAGCTGATTGTGCAGCACTACAAAAGGACTTGCAGCAACTCGAGCTCTGGTCGTCGGAAAATGGCCTGAGCTTCAACCTGGAAAAGTGCAAAGTAATGCACATCAGTAAAAATGAGGCAAGTACGACCGACTTCCAGTACATGTTGAGCAACCGTGCTATCACCAGAGTGTCCATGGAGAAAGATTTGGGGCTCAACTTCTCCGACACCTTGGACACCAGCTCCAACTACAAAGGTATGACAACCAGAGCGAACGCCATTCTACACTTTCTGCGTAGACAGCTTGGCGCCCTCACTCCCGAACTCTTCCTCACCATTTTCAAATCCTACGTGCGGCCGCACCTAGAGGTCTTCAATACGGTGGCTCCTCCAACACTCAAGAGAGACTCTAATCTCCTTGAAAGAATACAAAGAACTGCAACAAAATCAGTTGTGGGGCTAAGGGGAAAGACGTATCCTGAAAGACTTAAACACCTCAACCTATTTACCTTGGGTTATCGCAGGAAAAGGGGTGACCTCATTATGGCATACAAGATCGCCCATCAGGCAGACCATGCAAACAAATCAATTTTGCCTGCAACTGAACGATCTTCACGAGGAAACCCCATTAAGATAGCACACCAGAGAGCCAACACCACACTCAGGTCCAAATTTTTCTCCCTAAGAGTATGTGCTTTATGGAATGCCTTACCGCGACACATCGTTATAGCTCCTTCAATCGACTCTTTCAAGAGGCGATTAGACAGTTATGTCACCTCGCATGGACTACCACGGACGTACTCAGGTAGTCACCAACCTCAGTACCCCCAACTCCCTCCTAACTACCACTCACTATCTCTCTCCTTAATACACCCACATTACCTACTAATTCTTCTGTAGGAACCAAACCCACGCGACCATTCGGGCAATTCCCAAATACTTTTCTTTCGTTCTCATTTCTTTTCACCCCTCCTTTTCTTCTCCTTCCCTTTTCTCTTCCCTATATTATTATTTTTTCCTTTTTTTCTCTTCCTTATTTCTCTCTTCATTCCTTTACCACTACCTTACTATTCTCTTTCAGGTACCTACACAGACAGGAGTCACGGCAGTTCTCTAAACTTCCCAGCAACCCGTAGCTCCCTAATCACTCTACAAATTACAACCTACTAACCCACAAAACATCCACCTCACCGAAGCTAAAAGCAAGAAAGCAGAGGGGATTTCCTCGTCCACTGCAGGAGTGAACCGAACAACTGGAACCAAGCCCTAAGAACTAGACGCGAGAGATCAAAAACTACCAGTTTTCTACGCTCGCACTATCAATATTGGATATTGGACTTCGATGTATCAGATCCATTTACCAGTCTGGCAAACCAAACTGGTGGTTGTGGACAAGAGTATTGCTTCGTATTAGTTTTGTTTACTTGATTTATAACATACAGTGATACAGTATTGTTTGTTCGTGTGAAGTAAATAACACCGTACTACTGTGCGTTATAGAGCAAATAAAAAAGCTAATATGTGGGGTTACATCATACTACAGTGCCAAGTTTCCGCATTTGTGTTAGGCGTATGATTTGTCCCGATACAGTGGTATGGACGGGTTCCTCAAATGTCATGTCACCAAAATGTTGTTCTAACTGGCCTTAAAGGGCGATAAGAACGAAACGGTAACCGTTGAACACAGAGGTGGGAAGTGAATAAAAATAAAAGGAAGGGGAGTAAAACAAAGGGAAGCAGAAATCTGGGTGAATTCAGGAAGGACGGTAAAGACAACTGTGACGTGAAGAACCGTAATCAATGGGGTAGAGCTTTTAAGCTTCAGAGAGTGACAAATGAGCAGTGGTGATTACGGTGCAGCCGATGAAGTTAGAAATAATAATGTTACTAGTGGTTGTATGTCAATAGTTAAGATAAGAAGCTTACCGGAGGCATAAGAATGAAACGAGCTCATAATACTAGTGGCTGTACGAGACAGTGACCAAATTAGAATGGTGCAGAGTCAGTTTGTTCTTTTGGCCCAGCTTGCTTGCCAACTAGATGAGCTCAAGCCACGTTTCACTGTATAGCCGTTCAAACTTCCTTCAAAGCTGTTGATGGATGGAGCGTTAGCTACCTCAGCAGGCGATTTGTCCCAGTGGCTTCACACTTACTCTTTCACTTTGTTGAGAAATTCTCTTTTGGTTTCCAAGAGGATTGCTGTAGAGATCTTTTGGTAAGATTCCGTTCTCTGGGTGCCTTCGATTGCTTATTATCTCGCAGACTTTTATTAAGCCGCTACGTAAACTGCACCACCCAAGACAGCGAAGGCCCAGATCACTTAACTTTCTCCCGTGCTGTATTCGCCACGTTCCTATAGCACCCATGTGGCACACATCTGGACATTCTCCGGGAAGTTCATCAGGTGTGGTGGTCCGATGACGTTGCGAACCTCTAGACGTGGTCGCAAGCATTTTATTTCTTGTTTCTAGCTTCGATAATATGAATGTTGTTGCTTATTCTTTCTGGCCGTCCGATCTTCAGCATCGAGTGAGAGCAGGCGGCAGCTCTTGATGCATGCCTGCGGCTTGTTTGAAATGCTTTTCGTAACGCGCCAAGTTCTGAACCATATAGAAGGCACTGGCATACCAACCACCCGGCAGGTACCTGTCCTTCCTTACAAACCTTCTATTATAGTGGTGCGAGCACGTCCACTGTTGCCTCTGCGTCCGTTTTCAGTGCTTCTGGAGAAATTCCATCTGGTCCAGCAACTTTTCCGGATTTCAGCGACTCTACGGCGCTCAGGACTTCACTTTTGCTTTTGTCGGAGGGCTTGTGTTCACTGGTAGTTGTGTGGCTGGGCTGCTGGTGGTATTTCTGGACGAGTTGCAGGCAGGTGATGGTCGACTCAAGAGTTTTCTGAAGTGGTCAACCCATTGTTTCATCTCTTCGATAACTAATTTTCTTGCACTATCTTTCATTGGTTTCATCTGCGTTGATCTCTTCTCTCCTAGATAGTAACCTGCTTATTTTATAATACTGTTGTCAGGTATCTATCCCTCTTACCTGCAGCTTGTTCTGCTTCACTTGCAGGTGTGTCTATAAAAGTGTCTTTTGTCTTTCCGTCCACTCTTCTTCACTTCTTTGTCCACTGTAGTGTTTTGTAGGTTGTATTCAGTTCCTCTTTTTGTTGTTCATCCCTGCACCGCACTGCACTGCACTGGTTCAGCTTCTGCTTCACCATCACTATCATCCGACCAGATCCATTCCTTGTCCTGTTTCTTCTTCATTCCCAGCACGGTTATGCAGGTTTCCTTCCACGCCGCTTTCAAAGAGTTCCAGTGTTCTTCCACTCAGGTTTCGTCGGATATATTGTTTAATGTCTTCCATTTTTTCCTGATGACTGACTGGCGTGAAGATGTCCTTTGTAGTTTCGTCCTCCACTTTCTGTTCTGGGTGTTGAACTGTAACTCGAACTGTGGTCTATCACCAGCTTCTTTGAATTGAAAGCTTTCAACTTGATTTTGGAGGTAGGTTGTTTGCACTAGATAGTGAAGTGAGTGGTGTAAACCTACATCTGCTCCCCTTCTTCATCTCATCTTGTGTCCAGTAGGCTGCGTCTCCACTTTCTTCACATTCAAATGAAGTCGATCTGATTTTGAGTGTAGTGTGTCCTGGTGTCTGGTGAAATCAAATCCATGTCGCTGCCTTGTCAATATCCTTGTGTTTTTACACACTGCCTGACTCCAATCACCAAGTCATTAAATGCACAGAAGTCTGCAAACAGTTCTCTATTCTCATTCATCATTTCACCGAGTGCTTCTCGACCTATGTTCAGTTCTCTTCCTGTGTTGTCCGCTCCCCGCAGTTTGGCATTCATATCACCCCAACCATCAGAATTTTGATGTCGCTATCACCAACTGGAGTCTTGACCAGTACTGGCTGATTGCAGTTGTCAGCAGAATTTCTCCTTCTTCTCTTGATCCCCATTATTTGTAGGTGCGTAGTGTAGCATCGTGTGTTTGTGACTTTCCTTCCTTTTCAGTTGGATCCGTCTTGCTGTGATGGTCCTGATCCTGAAGGAGGAGATATTTTCCCACTGCTTGAGAGAGAGAGAGAGAGAGCCTTCGATGCCCTTTAAGGGGACATCATGATAGCCACTCGAAAACTCAGTGTGCTCGTGGTTGTCGTTTGGGTGACAATATCCGAGTAGATTATTGACTCTCCAGTTGATAGTTTTCAGAGTCCACTTGCATTCCACCTGCAGATTCCTAGTACTTCTACGCTCTGCCTTCTCATTTCTTTTGTAATGTGGGCAGCCTCGTTAGGTTCAAACACTGTACGGATATCCCATGTCCCCATGTTTACTTTCGGTTTCGCGAAGAGAAGATGCATCGGCCAATTGGCTTCCCGAAGGCTTTCACCAACCGATGTCATTTCGTCTCTCCGATTCCAGGGAGAAATAGGTTTGTTTTTACCTTTTATATTTTCTTTGTGTTTCGAAGTTTCTGTAGCGATTGAATTGGCTTTACGGGATAGAATTGTTAGCCCTATGCCCAGTCTTCCCTCTTTATGTGGGCTCAGGACCGGCTAGTAACTAGTTAACCAGGCAAGGTTCATTCAAACAATGCCCTGACTCAATCTACTTACGGTTTTGAATTTGGATCATTAACTGATTTCTGCATACGGTCCTAACTAAAAGTAGAACGGTAGGACCTGATACGAAGAATAAGACTTGTGTTTGTAGTTGTTTGTAGACACGATGTCCAAATCAAAAAGAGAAGAACTACTCACACGATTCATTGAATTCAGAAAAGTCAATCATAAATATACATACAAGTATTTATAAAAGCGGAAGGTTAATTAATGTTTTATCAACAAAGAATAAATAGTAAGATGAAGATGAAACATTCAGTAATCTCACGGTTGGAAGTAAATTAGAGATGTAGATGCGAATCGTCGTTATACTATGTCTGTATGATTACAAATCACAACCTATTTCTATATTGACATCTATATGGAAGTCTTTAGGCTATATGGAATCTGAGTGAAGTTCAGTACTAGATATTTAACTACGACCACTAAACTGAAACTTAATGAGCCCATTCTGGCTAAAACAACCTTGCAGCATTATTGACCAGTATAGTATATGTTCCAATATCATACTTAAACCTTCGTCTTCTTACCTGAATGTAGCCTACTGTGAATTTAGACAGTAGGAATAATGATGCATGACTTTAAAAATAAGTCAACAAACAATGAAGAATTGTGTTATTCTACTGTTTACAAAGCTGTATGCAAAAATAATACGCTTGAACTCTATTAAATTTTCTATCAAATGCATAATCAGATGTCATACTCTTTTCAAAAACACTACTATCACATAAAGTTGACTAGGGTGCCTAGAACAGTGTCACAGAACAACACTCTAAGTATTCTGACTTTACACCTTAAAAAGAAAAAAGACGATAACTGCGGTGCACAAATTCGATTTAGTATTGGTACACTTTCAGTGTTTACATGGTCAGGTCTTATACTATGAGGTCAATGACGGTGGATGAACTAAATCTCCTTTCAGCTTTGTACTGGCTTTACTGAATTACTTTCACCAGAACAACCAAGTCCATCAACGCCGGTTACTGACTCAACTTGCTTAGTTGGATGCTTTAGTGAGTGGTCTGACTTTCCAGAATTACTTGATACCAAAGAAATTGTCAATTTCAAAGGTGACTGGTGACGATTGATTGTCCCATTAGAATATTTACATTCGAACTGTTCGGATGCAGCTACGGAGCTTTTGTGTGTAATCATGTCTCCAGATGATTCCAAGAAAATATCTTCTGTTTCTGTGTCATCATCTTCGAGACGTTGTTGTTCTGCTATACGTCTAAAAGTAAACCAATTCATTACTAAAAAATTAATATCAGATAAGAAATTCCAATTCATTAGATGCAGATAGTTGAGAAGTTTCAGTGTACAGCTATCTCAATCAGAGAAAATAATAGCTGCTGGAAATCTCATTGAAAACATTCTTGAAATACGCTTACTAGGACTTAAAACATGACGGTCTTATAGCTTTTATCACTTCAACAATTAAATGAATTATGTGAGATCTAATCTAAATGGCCCTACCAAAATCTGTGACAATCAATTTATGCATAAGAGAACAGAATTAGCGACAACCGTACATAAAGGTGCTTAGTTGGACAGAAAGTTTCACTTACTTATTTGCACGTCTTGAACTGTTTCGTCCTAAACCCATACAATTAGATAAATGAGCAGCATATCGTGTCGCAGCAACCTTACAATTACATTTTCCGCACCGACAACAGCTCGTAGTTTTGTTGAGATCTCTACCAGAACCTGTATTTGAAGAGCCACAGCCAGCACTGTCTGACAAATATGGATTAGGTTCAGAGGCAATAATATGAAAATATCCTAGCTTAATTGCACGATGCATTGTGAGAATATCATCCATTAAACATGAGTCAATCAAGTCTGTGATATGTTTTCTTATAACAAATCCAACCGCACGATAACTTACGAATCACCAACAAAATATAAACAAATGAACACAAAATTGTTCCTCGCTTGAATGGGATAAGCGAAATGACGCCGGTTGGTGAAAGGCTTCGGGAAGCCATTCTGCCTATGTGTCCTCTCTTCGTGAAATCAAAAGTAAACTTGTAGACTTGGAATATCCACACCATGTTCAAACTTAACAAGGCCGCCTAGATTGCAATCTGGATGCGAAGGTATCGCATTGAAGCGCTAGGAATTTGCGAAATCAGGTGGGGTGAGATTTGACTGAGCAAACTGCCAAATGGAGAATCAATAGTCTACTCCGAAAAAGTCACCCAGAGGACGACCACGAGCACACTGAGTTTTCGAGTGGCTACCATGATGCCCCCAGCAACATCCAAGGCTGTCATGCAGTAGGGACCAATCTCCTCCAGGATCAGAATCACGACAGCAAGACTCAATTCAAAAGGAAGGAGACTCACTATCGTTCAGTTCTATGCACCTACAAATAATGCAGGTGAAGAGAAGAGGGGGGAATTCTACAGACGACTGCAACCAGCACTGTACAAGACCCTAGCTGGCGACATATAAATTGTAATGGGCGAAAAAACATGAATGACGAACTGGGGGCGGACAACACAGGAAGAGAACAAACCATGCGTCAAGAAGCACTCGGTGAAATGAAGAATTATTTGCATTCAACGATTTGGTGATTGTAGGCACTGTGTTCACGCACAAATCCACAAAGCGATGATTTCACCAGACACGAGCACAACGCTTAAAATGGAATCGATTTCGTCTCAATCTCAAGAAAGCGGAGACGCAGCCCACTGCACACAAGAAAAGAACAAGAAGAGAAGCAGATATAGGCTCAGACCACCATCTAGTGCAAGGAACCCAAAATCAAAATCAAACTGAAAGCCTTCATGGAAGTTAGTGATAGACCACAGTTCAAGTTCAATACCCGGAAAAGATAGCAAACTAAAGGAGGAAACTACGAAAGAAATCTTCACAACAAACAGCTGTCAAGACAAAATGGCAGATATCGAGCAACATCCCTGAAGAAACCCTTGTGGGTGAGCACTGGAACTCTTTGAAAGCTATGTGGAAAGAAACCTGCATAACCGTATTAGGAAGGAAGAAGAAAGAAGATAAGAAATGGATCCCGACGGACACATGGAAGCTGATGGAGCAGGGAGAGGGGGATGGTGAATCAGAAGATGAACCAGTGCAGTGCAAGGGTGAACGACGAGAAGAGGAACTGAGTACAACGTACAAAACACTACACTGGACAAAGAAGTGAGGAAGAGTGTGTGGAAAGACAAAAGACACTTCTACGACATACTGGCAAGTGAAACAGAACAGGCTGTCGGTGGGTATAAACTCTGTTAAAAATATCAGAAGATCCTGCTAGATATGAAATGAGCAAGGAAACATCGCTTTTTAACGTATACGAAGCGCTAAAGTTTAGATCTCTGGTCCGTCATAAAGGCAGCGGAAATCTGGATAAACAATTAAATTTGAGACATTTCTTTACCTAGCAGCTCTAAAGGCAACGTATTCGCAACAATCCTATGCAGCAAATTTCTCTAGCACTTCGTCCTGTATGAATCCATGTGACAGAAGTCGACTAACGCCCAATGTATCTCCTTGACAATGCTGCATACTTCAATGGGAAATCTATGAAGTTCTATATGTGTGTGAAATCCACCACCGTTGAACGATGATTCTTCCAGTCTTTAACTAATTGCACTGCATCGAGTAGTTTTGGCATTGTCAAGACGAATTGCTGGAAAAGATAACACTTGAAGGGTGAGAGATGACTGAGCTTAGATACTCACCCGGATTAAGTGATTGTATAGATACTTACTTATTCCTGAGATCATTGAAGTAAGTTACTGTTGGTCTATAAAGCTACGAACGTGAGAATTGCTGTTAAAATAGGCGGTTATCTGACGAAACACCGTGATTTTACAGACGGGTCAATCATGTCGATTACTCATAGTGCACACATATAATACTCCGCCTATATGATGCCACATTATTGTTGAGGAAAGAATTGTGAGTGGGAACAATCTGAACTCAGGACGATGTGTATATACTGCAAACGGGTATTTTCTTGCTCTTTTCATAACTTTTAATTGCTTGATACCGTGATAGAGTTTAATGTCTTTTTTCCGTACCATTCAAAGCAGCTCAAATCTTTTAGTTTTCTCTGCAATTATCAATTTAATAATGCCTGTAGACCGGCTTCTTTCATGTTAAATTCATAACCTCAGAATAAAAATATTTGCTTATTTGCTGATATATTTACTAAGTTTTATCCTCATGCAACGGAGTTAACACGAGGTATGCTGGTTTGCAAGCGTCGTGAAAATGATAATCCATGAAAGTTCACAAAATAGTATTTGGTATCAAATAATTCATATATCAGGTCATTGGTGTGCACAATCTTATTAAAACTTGCCACAATTCACGAGACGGGCATGGATTTTGGTCTCCCAGCACACAGATAGGTTCCACTATCAGGAACAAAAGCGCGCAGTGTTTGAAGTTTGCGTTAAAACCGGCCGGCGTTGTTAGTCCATTTGCGTATTTGTTATTTAGTAACCTAACTGTCCATTTATAAGAAGGTTCCTCAGTTTGTAGCTTCGCGAATCACAAAGGACCCGTTTATGCAATCCGGAGTATCGGAGTATCCATAGTTATATAACCAACGTGAGTGTGTAGACCAACACACTTACAGGTTACCGTATTGCGTTTAAAGGTAGCATGGATTAATTCCACTGGGAATACTTGTTGCAGTCAATGAGAATAGACGTTGAAACGGTTAATAGTCCAAATGGCAGTATCTTTACATAGACTTTGGCACCTTTTTGATTAGCGTAAGCAGCATTATTCTAGGGGTGTATTTGATGCATAGTAGTTTTTATATGAAAAGATCACTTAATACAGAGTACTAGAAAACGTGTATTGTGGAGCTACTGCACGTAAGTCGCTTTCCGAGCAAACAGGTAAGTTGGTCTTTAGCTCAGTCATTCGTTCAGAATATTTGTGCTACCATAACTGTTATGAGAGCTTTAGACGGTTCGTCGCTTGAAGAATCATGACCAGTAGGCGAGTAGGTCGTGGAGGCGCTCCAGAAACCACAAAAGAGTGGAAGCAATTCAATAATTACTGGCGTCAGTGGGCATGCATTATTTCCACTAAGTAGTTATGTTTGGATAGAAATTCAGCATCGAATGTCGTCACTAGGCTGTTGCTGCGAGTGGGGAAAGAAAGGAGAAGCACGAGCAGATATGGAAAGGGAAACTACCGCGCTATCCAATTTGGAGAAGAGAGAAGTCCCCACTATTTTAGGTCTATTTAGACTTTACATACGTTTTCACATATGGATGTGGAGTCCACTACGTAGTTTTTCCACTATAAGGTTCTTAAAATTTTCTATATCTGGGGTGTACTGCAGTGGTTTTGTAAACGACGTACATTAAGTTTATTACATGTGTAACCGTAAACTCAACAGCTTAGTGCCGTAAACTAAAGCTTTTCCTCTCCTCCTTCCCCTTCATGGCCACCATTAGGCCCACACTCCTTTGCTTACCCCTTGTAACAATATACCTACCTACGGGGTGGATGCAAACCTACTGACAGCCGATTTTTACAAAAAGAACTAGACAATCACCTTCCCTTTTAAACTTTTTCTCTCCACCCTAAAATAAGCTGAAGAGTGAGGAGTGCACTGCAGGAAAGAGGGTGACCGGTTGAGAAAAGATGGTTCTGAGAGGCCTCTGATCTCAGTGCTGTCGTGAAGAGGGCTTCCACCCAACTTTTGCTATTAGATCCTCAGGTAAAGCTAAACTCACCAACGCAGACTGCTTCAAATAAGGGCACAAATAATCTCCGAGAGGTGCATCTACCTATTTCTCGAATTTCGCTGTTCTGTAGGATGATTTAAACGTCGTCTAACGGTCGCATACCTTTTAGCTTGCCTAGTTGGGCTGGTGGAAATCTTAACAGTCAAATATTCGAGCCACATTTCATCCCTCTTGCCCTTAAACGGCCAGCGAATGGGCGATTTTCAAACTTAATTGCGTTTCGTTGTACTTTTGGGGTCTGCGTTACTGACGATTTTCCACAGTCATTTATCAAAAATATACCTTCTTACCTCAGAACTTAAAAGCTATTCGGTTATGACAGTAATAATCGCTGTTTTCCAGACACTGGCACGATATGGAATTCTCAGCATGTAATTTTTCGACAGCTTCCCACCCCGCAAAACTTTTTTAGACTGTGTAATTATCACTCCCGGGGATGTTAATAACAACGGTATTAGAGGTACTGATGTGAAACGGGAAGCTGTTATTACACTAGTTTCTGGACTCGGGGGTGAATGCAAAGCCGAGTTTTATGTTGGTGGTGATAGTGGTCCAGCTAACAAGCAAGTACCGCATAGATACCCTGGGCATGGCCTTTCGCCATATTTTTGCATAGTAGCAAGTCCATTTGCAACAGGCGTAAAGTCTATTCTTTCCTCTGCCCTCATCTCGAGAAACGACAGTTCGATGACACATTGAAAATGTGCATGAGTACTTGATATGTCAAGATTAAAACAAACAGAAAGGAGAGAACTTGATGAAGTTCACTCAGTGTAAAATTTCTGGTAGTCCTAAGTTTGGGCAGGCCACCTTCCTAATAATTACTAATAACAGTCGGGGGCATTTCCTCATCATTTTAACTCATGGGTTTGTGCATCACATCCCTTAGACCGATGCTGAACCATTTCCTGACTGATAGATCATCCAGCACTTTCGCTACTTCTTTTATTATACTGTCAGTCATTTGCATTTTCTTTGAGTTCAAACGGTTCATTGTTTAGGGAGGAAATTTTAACCCGATTGATTATCCACAAGGATTAACAGTCGTGCTTCAAATTTAATCGGCTGAAATTATTATGCC